ATTACTGTAAAATATTCCTATGCAAAAGAATGGATGCAATTAAGGATGACTTTAATACTTTTAAGTTAAAGTGCAAATAAAACTGTACCCTCTACACTACTCTCTACATTTTATTACACAAATTGACAGTTTTTCGTATTCATATGAACTCATGACAAAGGCCAAAGATCACCTGCAGATAGTTTAATGGACGTAGAATCATCTCTTTGTCCGTAAAGATGTCCCTTTGTCAGACGAACAAGAAAAAAACATAACCACTTTCCTTTAAGAGTCTGTGTGGTCAAATGATTCAAATCAAGATAAAAATCAAACTTACAAAAAAGTATAATTTAATTATTTAATTCTTAAGTTGAAGATAACGTTAGAAACGCTTTGCTTCTTTTTTCGTAGCCTGTAATTGTAGGTAATTATGAATTAAGACCTAGATTAACATCTTAAGAACTGTAAGATTATACTGTAATAAAGGGTTAACCCAGCATTCACTCTTATTAATTGATAGACATAGTGTAGCTTTTAATAACATAACAGATGGTATAACTTATAATTAATTTATCAATTTTGTTAGAAAACTTAAGTAGAATTTAGATAGAGTTACCATGGGAATAGTTTTAAAAATAGATAAGTGATTTTAATGAAAACGAAATTGCTGATTTATAATTTACGTTGTGTTTGTGTGTGGGGAAGATTTGCGATCATTTAGATACTGTGTACTTATTGTACGCTTAATCGTTATTGTTAATTTTTTGCAAAAGGTTATTTAGTAAATGTGTAAATTGTAACTAACATCATTCTTTGTTCTGGGATTAATTTTCAGAAATGTGTATCTAAGAACCTGCATTGTGGTTGGAAAAACGGTATCAGTGAATCCGTCTATTTTATGCACTGTATGTAAGCATTTGGAACTCCTCGTCTATTATTGATAGTAACCTCGGACTAAGTTCTACCACGTGTTTGAAGATGTAAACAAATACAGAGAGTAGAGTCTTTGATAATGTAAAATAACGAATGTATATATATTTGGCATCAAAAGGAAAATAAAGTCTGTATCGGTAAAATTCGATTTCTTATCCGAAAGTTTGACGGAAAGATGCGAGTGCGGTGTTTCCGCGATGCACAATGCTACAATGATGGAAACGCGATTATACGATGACACGATGATCAAAACTCCCGAAGATACGATATCAATGTATGTACGATGGCACGGTGCCGCGATGAAATCGCGATGATGATAAACACACAATGATGATGAAACGCCATTATGATGAAAAAGCAATGATGATGAAAACGCAATAATTATGAAAACGCGATAATGATAAAACGAGACAATGATGAAAATGTGATGATGATGAAAACGCGATGATGATAACAAAGGCAATGATTTTGAAAACTCGATGATGATGAAAACGCGATAATGATGAAAATGTGATGATGACGAAAACGCGATGATGATAACAAAGGCAATGATTATGAAAACGCGATGATGATGAAAACGCGATAATGATGAAAATACGATGATTGTGGTGAAAACGCGGTGATGATGAAAACGCGATGCAAGTTGTACCACCAAAAATGTGATTCTAGTAACAGCCTCAGATGATGCAGGGTCGTAATGAACCAGCAGGCCAAAATAACATGATCTCTGTTTGTCATTAATGTCATAATTACGAACGCTGTCACCTAGTTTCTATCTTTCTGTAGTTTTCTGCATTTTTACTAGAGCATTATCTCCACTCTTGAAGTCGTTGATAAACTACATTTCTTGGTGAATCTAAAGTCATAGCTATATAACAGCATTTCCGCCGTCGTCCGGACAGGCTCTTGTGATGCTAGCGGCAGCTGAATCTGACCATGTGACCAGTACAGACCAAGACCAGCCGGTACATCCGATTCGTTTGATCATGGTCTGCACTGTTCGCTGTTCAGTTAACAATATATTTTGAAATGTTCACTAAAGATGAATGGTTTTGTCCAGATTGTTAAGATATTAAGCATGGTTATGATTAATTTATGTTTTCATAATTTCATTCATATGTAATTGCAGATTATTTAAAGGTTCCTCATTTCTAAAAAGGGTCCCTAGCTTGAGTTCAGAAAAGTGGCCATAACTTGATTTCCATACGGTAAACTTTGTTTAAATTGTGCATACAGGTGTACTTTAAGGTATATATCTGACCTATGATGTCAATTTTTTAGTCCCTTATAGTGCCCATTAGGGTGGTAATACCTTAAAGCATGTTAGATACTTACAAGCTGAGGAAAGTGGCGCTAACTCTGAAATTGTTTGGTATGTAAAACAAAGTGGTATTTTAGCTTCCATACAAAATACTCATTTATTTTAGCTGTATCCAAAACAACAACAAGAGAAAGCTTTTGAAAAGTAAAAAATGAAAGGATTTCTGAGGCATAATGGGCCTTTTAGATTCACTCTATAAAACTAAATTGTTTTTTCTTGTAAGAATGAAATATTAAAACGAAAATATTAAAAATAGATTGTTAGAGAGACGTTCAAGCATTGCTGCGGATTATAACGAGAATGATGAACAGGTTTTGTATTAAACCGAAAACAAGCATCACCTGTGCCTAGTGTAATTGATTCAACAATAAAACTTATTTAAACTGAAAAGTTAATTATATTTTTATGTACAAACATAAATAAGTATTAAGAATAATTGGGTTTAATTATTTATCAAAATACTTGAAACTTGACGTTTTTTCCTTCCCTTTTTAAAAAGAATTGGATAATTTTTTTTGTACGTGGGAAATTCTTTTAATTAAAAAAAGATGACTCAAAAATATTGCGTTTTTTAAAACAACCCCCCCTTTAAAAATTAATGGGATACAGTTCTTTTTGGCGTTTTTCTGAAAAATTTGTCCTTTATTTTTTTTTTTGTTATTTCTTTCCCCAAATTTTGGTTGACCATTTCCCGCCAAAGTCCCAGAACGTTTTTTGTTAAAAATAAAGTGGAATAGAGCAATTGCTTGTTTTTGGGAAAAGGGCCCCAGGGGCCCCGAAAGGGCGGAAAGGGCCCCCTTAAGCATAAAAAAACCCTTCCCGTTTAGAAGCGACCCTGGGTTTTTTTAATGTCCAATGTAAAGAACCCAAAACAGGGGCCTTGGTTTTTTGGGGGCCCAAAAGGGGAAGCTATTGGGAAATTTTCGATCCACGGGTTTTTTATGAAAACTTAAATGTATTTGTGTTTAAAAATCAGAAGTTTTAAAACGAAGAGGACTGGACTTGACGACGGTTTTTAAATTTTTGCCGAAACGGGGGCCAACCGGAATTGGGAATTTGGAAAATCCCGGCTATTTTAAAAATCCGAAGTTTAAAGGAAAAGGGGGAAAAAGATGCGAAATTTCGACGAAATGGGGGTACATTGAATTAAAAAAATTTTTTGGGTTTTTTAATCATTGGGGAAAACTACAGAATCTTTTTTAATCAAACCCACAAATTCGTAATAACCGGGCGGTCTTGAAAAATAAATTAAAAATGTAACAATATTTTTTTGCGGATCGGGCCATTTAAAAAAACAAAAATTTTTTTATTAAAAACGAAAACCCCCAAAAAAAAGGGCATTGAAATAAAAAACTAACTTTTGAAAGGTCCCCTAAGTCACGGGTGTCTCCCGTTTAATGTTTAGTGGTGTGTGTAGGGGGGGGGGCATAAAAAATTTTAAAATGAAATTTTGATTCTACAAAGTGAGTTCAGATTTCGATGGCAAAGTTATAAGCTTTTTGCAATTTTATCCGACTTCTTCTGGTTTTAAAGAAAATAGAATTTGGTCTCTCCTTTTAAACCATTTTACCCATTTTATTCAGGTAAAATATTCAACACTTTCGTTGCGTGGTGACATTTCACAAAACATAATGGGACGATTTCTATACAGTAAAACAATACCTTTAATTCAAAACTAACCCTACTTCGTGATCCCTAAATAAATCAGATAATCATGCTCTTTGTTTCTCCATTCAAAATCCTTAGATGCTAAAACATTAACACGGCATTCCTTCAAAAATAGATATAATCTGATAAAATCAGTCGTAGCAATTTTAGGCTATTGAAGATTTCACCGATTAAACAAATAATGAATTAAAAAAGAATAAAATGCAAGGATGTGATACCGAAAAAAGGCGTATTAATTTCACAAAATATTAGATTTTATAAACCAAATCGGCGCCGCTTATCTACGCAAGAAGCTCTTTGCTTGTATAGAAATAACCCCCTCCTTTTCTAAACCGCTCATCCAGTGTAAAAATCAAACCCGTGAGCGCGTGAGTCGAAATATATCAGGTATCAAATGTGATGAGAGTAAAAAAGAAGGGAAAAAACGAGTGAAAGAAAAAAAAAGTAAAATGCCTATGGCCAATAAAGTGTATCAGTTCACAAGAGACACCAAATTGTAAAATATATATAAAAAATATTGAAAGTGTTTTATTTAGACGGGTTAAATTAAAATCATTTCACATGATATACTTTGAAGTTTGACAAATTTATATACTATAATGAGAAAATGATCACGGCTAGACAATCACCTAGTTAAATCATCATTAAACGATGCATTAAACAACTTTAGTCATACATTAAGTATATTGATAAACGAAATAAAAACCACAATCATTAACATTTCAACTTTATTTGCCTATTTTTACCCTTAAATTGATATTAGATTTTATGTTGTAATTATTTTCATTACAGACTGGGCACATTTTTTAACTGTCGAGTCAACAGAATTTTAAACAAATCTTTTTTTTTTGTAAACCCATGTGAACCGTAAAGCAGTCAGTCTAAGGGAGACAAATGTTAACCGTAAATCAGTCCAATATCCACGCAGTGATCTCCCCTTAATTCTTTCTATATTTATAAAGGGAAGTAACCGCTGCGAGAGTTTGAAAGCAGTAAGTCTAAGGGAGACAATCGTGATAAAAAACACGATTTGGCTGTGCATACTTATCTTTTCTTGGAAATGGGTAGAATTTAATCAAAATCATAACAAACACTGCAGTGTATCTTTAGTTATATGATTTTATTCCAAAGGTCAACATTACATCAGTCACTCATATAGCATAGCATGGGAAACATTGTCTTGTTAACTTATAGATGAAATTAGTATTTGTTTGTGAAATGAAATACATGTACATTGTAATGCACATTGCACTGATTTCATTAAAATATACATGTATACAGTCATTTATTATCATAATACTCTGAATGAATTGAGGATATTCAAGTTTTTTTCTAATTAATACAGGATTCATTTTCATCAAGTGGTAAGAAAAATCATCAAATATGATAATTTTAATACCATAAGATGAAAATAAATCCCGTATTTGAAGAAAAACCTTGAATTTTCTGTTTGTCATATATTTTTTTTCTTTTCTAATCTTACAAATTTGAAAGACTACCCCTTCAATTTTGTGTATTGGCTGAACCATACAGGAAGAAGTCCAGCAAGACACCAGTGAAAATATGCAAAATATGTTTCAATGCAGTGATAAATAAATTTTTAAAAGTGAAAATACTGAAAATATGTTTCATTGCAGTGAAAAAAAAATTACAGTGAAAATACTGAAAATATCACTGCAGTGAAAAATAAATTTTTACAGTGAAAATACAGAAAATGAAAATACTCATTTTATTGTATCAATATTTGTCAATATTCTATTAATTTATAAGTATATAATTAAACATCAGTTTCAGTTTAAAATGCAAACAAAATATTATCTATGAAAAAAAAGTATACATGTACATGGGTTTTTGGCAGTTACAGAGAAAATTTTAATAATGGCAAGTAAATATGATTTTTGAATATAAATTTTTTAGGACATAATTTTATATTTGCACTCAACTGTTTTACTAAAGCACCTTTTAAATCTTGTTTAAAAAACATATAGTAAATTTTGCATTCTAAAACTATTTTATCTACAGCTATGCTAAACATGTACCAATACACCTGTTCTTAAAGACCACTCTCGAATAATAAAAGTTCTAAACCCTGCAATTAAATGCCATATTCTTACTTTAACATCTGTACACCTATTCAAACACAACTTCTGAGACAACCTGTCCACAATGACCACCTGTTTTCAAAAATAATGACTGGCCTAGTCTATACAAGTTTGAAAGTATACTTTTTTAAACCATTGAAACAGCCTGTATCCATTGTAAAACTCATTCAAATGTTTATTTTTGTAATATCTAACCAATTAACTGTTTAAATTTTTTTTTCAATAAACTTATATTATTGCCAAACAGTTAAGTTATTTCAGTTTTCATGATAAAAATTTACACAAATCAAATCCATTCTTTTTATATTTTGGATTTCCAACTCAAAAATAAAGAACATATGTTGTTAAAAATTCTTTGTTTCTTTTCATTTACCAATTGTCATAATGACCAGGGTCTGGAAACCACAAGCCTTTGAGGGTAGTGGTTGGCAATATTTTCAAGCCCAAATATGTTTTTTTTCATGCCATGAAAATGTTATATGGCACACAGTTTAGGTCATATGGCATTGAAATGTTGAACTTTTGAAGTGGAAAGTAGTCAAGAATAAACATAAATACAGTTATTTTGTAATTTTATTCTCCCAATTAAAAATAGATAAGTTTCTACATCTAAAATTCGATCAATTTATTTTCAGAAAATATGGTTTTCTTCTGGTAATTTTTCAAAGGCTAATGGGTCTTGTGCCTTGAAAAATTATACTGGCCCAATCTAGATTCTAATAGCCATTGGCGAGCTACCACTAAACTCGCAGACTGACTATTCAAATATATACAGCTAAAAGTTTTTATCATTTCCAACTACATGTAACTAACTGTTCCATTAAACTGAAACATCACTTCTTCCATGCCAAATAAAATTCTTTACAAAAGAATTAGACTTAAAGTAAAAAGAAGTCAATCAGAATTAAGAAATTGCCCAATTAAACATTTGCAAGTATTCAAATATTCTTCTACTTACGTATTACGACCTTACTATTTTACATATATTCTAACAACTGTTTTTTTTACCTAACACTGAGTGTTTACATTTTCAAAAACTAACAACTTTATATATTTCCAAATCTACATTTTGTATATACCTCATACTAACTGTTTTCCATGCAAAAACTTGCACCGGTCCCTTCCTAGTCTTACAGACAACATAAATTGACAACAGACTAACTCCGGAATTAAGAATATTTTGGGTCTTCCGTGCTTATCCGTGGGTACGAACAAGATTTTACAGCTACAGCTTCGAAAATAAGCGCATCCGATTGACTTATTTATTTTGACCGGCAGTGCACCGTGAAGCTATAAATAATAATGGTAAAAGTTTTTTTGTACCAGAGGATTAGCTTGTAAAAACCTTTTTTTTGTCCAGTTCCGGATAATATCTATTGTCAAGCCATTACAAGACATTTGTACAGACAAACACAGGACACTGCACAGTTAAGCATCTGAAAACACTGACATTAAATAAAACAATAGTTAGGTGTTTTTTTTCAAATCTCAACACTGACAAATAGTATAAAGTTAGGCAATTGACAACAGTCGCTAAATCGGCTTAACAGTTCGGCATATGAAAATATCAATAATAAATACAAACAAATTTAGGCATATTAAATATATGCAAAGTTAGGCCAATGAAAACACCACCACTAAATACATACAGGTTGTCATTTTGAAAACTACAGACACAGTTAGGCGTATCAAACAATGAAACTATAAACATATTCAGTTAGGCATTTAAAACAAACATTGAAAACCTTTACATTTAGAATTTAATGTAACATGAAGTTGAAGTTAAATAAGCTCCATTGAGGTTCAACACCCATAAAATTAAAAAAAATTAACATAGACCAACTTGGTCACTCAAAACAAACAAAAAATAAGCAAAAGATTAGCATGAAATATAACAGAATTAAATTGAAAATCAAGGAATGGCCGAGAGGTTAATGCGTCAGACTAGTAATCTAATGATCGCTATTCGCATGGGTTGAGTTTCTAAATAAGAGTGCATGATACTTATAGACAATCAGTATGAAAATTGTAAATAAAACATAAATTTAGCAATCAGACATAAATGCACACAATTAGACATAAACCAAACAATCACAAATAATGATTTCAACAGATGAGAAAATTAACATAGACATAAAATCTATTAAATACAGACATAAATTTAACAGACATGAATTCAATATAATTAGAATCAGACAAAAGTTCTACTCGACATAATTTTATCACAGTCAGACATAAATCTCAGCCAAACATAAATCGAAAAGTCAGACATATATCCAACAGTCAGACATAAATCTAAAAGTCAGTCATAAATCTAACAGTCAGACATAAATCCAAAGACCAGACATAAATCCAACAGTCAGACATAAATCCAACATAAATCCAAAAGCCAGACATAAATCCAACAGTCAGACATAAATCCAAAAAAATCAGACATAAATTTCAGTCAGATGAAGATATCACACAGACATAATTAGACATAACAAAAGTACAATCAGACATAAATCAAGCAGTCAGACATTATTAAAGCACAGACAGACATAATGTTTATCACAGATCACCTTCCTGCAAAGTGATTGTCAGTACAAATTAAAAAGGGGGGACGACGAACCTGAACAATATGAACACGTCATTTAAGAATAATACATAGTGTCATTGCAAAATAAAAACACAAGAGCTGTCCGTTACACAGCAAACTCGAGTATTCTCAGAGCTCAATAATCACAGAGAACAAGTATGTGAAGTTACAACCAATTTCCTTCAGTAGTTTTGGTGATACCAATTCTTGAACACAAAAAATTAACCTAAGTGTGGATGCCTATGCTGGCATTGACTCCAGGAAGAGTACAATAGCTCTCCATTTTCTTCCAAAAGCCGTGCTAATTAATAGTCTGAATAATAACAATTTACACCAAAGTCATGATATGATATACCATTACTTAAAATGCAAAAATTAAAAAAAAATCTGAATATACAAAATTTCATAATGTACTTGTGTAACGGACTTTTAATGCATGGGGAAATGACAATACACAGGGTGATTTAAGATCATGTTAAAATGTTAACCCTGATACAGAAAAATGACATGAGATTCTCTTCTTGAAACAGTGGCTAGTAAACCATGAAATTGTTATCTTAATCTTTTTTTAGTTGGACGTAAAGTTATGCTGACACAGTAAAGGTCAAATTACAAAATGGCGTCTTTCAAGCTTTACTGGTGGAAGAATACTTCTGGTGCCTCTTGTTGCATTATTTCGGACATGAGCAGGCACCGGATTAGAGCATCTTATTACCCTTTAGCTAGCTAGTGGTAAATGAAATTGAGCCATGAGAACAGTGCAGACCAAGATCAGCCAACAAGATCCTGCTGTCTGATCATGGTCCGCAATTTTTGCTATTCAGTCAGTAGTCCAATTTCATGGGTGCAAGTTAAAAATATCAGAAAACCAGAGAACTCTTAATTTAGTAAGTTAAAAATATCAGAAAACCAGAGAACTCTTAATTTAGTATCATTTCAATTAGTTTTTATATAGAATTCAAGAACTGAGCTTTCAGGACTAGAAAAATCCTGAACTTCAGGCAAATGGCTGAAAACTTGTACCCATGCAATTTTGACAATTTCCCTCAAAATGATTTATGGTTTTGACCGGATTGAAAGAAAGTCAAGTCCATTTAAAATATTTAGCATGTTTAGGGGGAAAAAAAACCCCACAAAATTAACAGCATGTAATGTTTGACAGTATGACATATGAATAGTGATTTTGAAAAAAAAATACTTATTTCAATATAATGCCATAAGAATGAACATTTAACTAAATTCTTAAAAGTTTAGTTACCAATATTGCTATTTAGCATGAAAATTAAATTAAAATTTAATGAGATTATTCAGGGTTAATTTTTTGGTGTTTAAATCTACCTTAAATTGTTTCAAGTTGGCAATTTTAAAGAATTTTTCAAAGGTTTCTTAAGCCTTAAAATGACTGAGTAAACTTTGGCATGAACCACTATCGCTGATATCTTCTGGTTTTACAGTTTTATAAAACTGTTTATACAATGATGAAATTTCAAATTCGAGAGTTGTTTTTTTTCAAGATTATTATGTTAATTTTTAAACTAAAGGAATTAAAGGTTTTTTTGTGGCAAAATGTCATTTTCAAGGGTTTTTGATGTGCAAAAAATCATTTTCGAAGAGGTTTTCAAGACAGATATGAAATATTTCATGGCCTGTGCCAACAATGCTCTAGGTGTTTACAATGACTGGCTCTTTTGCAATGTGTAATTCTGACAAAATTCCATACAGTTGCTTGTTTAAAATTCTAATTGCCCCTGAAGTTTCAGGTAACAAAGTAGGTCAAGGTCAATTACGTGAAAAAAAAATCAGTTAACCAGGGGCTTAACATTATCATACATATAAGCTTTAATTAAACATATTGTCACCTTAAAGCAATAACTGGTTATATCCTATTAAATTGAGAAAGACTTAACTCAATACTGCACCAAGGCGACCATATATGAACAAAAACAAATAACTTGAAAAATGAACAGAGGCGTATAAATATAGAAACCTGCAGTCAAACTGGCGGATGAATCAGACAACAAAAAATATGATCGTTTTAAAGACAAATACATGTACGTTGATTTAATATTATAAACACTGTTAATTTAACAGCACATATAGTTTATCACTTCGAAAATTCAACAAAACTGAATCATTTTCTTCGTCAGGATTGTGCCAGAAATTCATTGGTATCATGACATAATCATATTTTCCCTGTCATATCTAAGTTATCATTAAATTATCAAGTAAATATTATTATTCAGCGTATAAATCTTTAAAAAAAAATCAGCATCGCTTTGTGTAAGTTTATATTAAATATACAAAGTAAAGAAAAATTGATACCTACTACACATATACATACATGTATATGCATTTTCCGTAAGTATACAAAATCAATAATGAAGATTTTCCAGCATCAAAATTTTTTATCTCATGAAAAAAAATGATAATATGTTGTTTCACAGGTTTATAAAAGAAAGGTCACCCCAAAAAACTTTATGTGTAAAATATAATTTCTGGAACTTGTCCATCTTCAACTGAGGTCCCGTTGTTATTTCCTGCAGCGTAATGGAACTGAAAAGTGACCTTTCCGCCCGAAACTGACTCGTGCGTAACCTTCCGTAAACCCTTAGATCCGTAATATGAATCAGGTCCCTGATAAAAAAAAAAAAAAAAAAGAGTATACATCAATTAGTTATTTAGGACATAGATATCAATTTTGAGTGAATTGTTGTAGATTAATGCATGGTTGGAGTTCAAATGCGCAGAAATAAAATCACCAAGGTTGATAGGCCTGAGTGATTAATTACAAAGCATCTGAACGATAAACCCTGCATTATTCTAAAACAATGCACCCTAAATTGATATCTATTTCCGTTTTAACATGCTACTAAAAAGAGAATTGATAGAAATATGTTGAACTTCATTAAAATGACAATGTTCAAGGTGGTGGTGGTATTGGTAGTTTTCACTCCGGATCTCGAGAGTAAGCCACATTGAAATTTCCAGAGCACAGTAGAGCCACCGCATCCTTCCTGGGTAGGCTGTCAAGCAGTTTACCATTACTAGTTGCCTTCACTCTCGTAAGGAACTCTTACTTCTGTATATGCCAGAGCAGAGGTACAGTGCAAATGTCCGTAGAAAGGATTTCATTATCAATCACAACAAAAGTGACATGCACCGTCTGGTTGTCGAACTTGGGTTCCTGTTTCACAGTCCAAGCTCTACCTATTGAGCTAACCGACCGCTCATTTCACTCATACCAAACTAAATACGAGTATCTGTAACGGACGTGTCCATCTTTCAATCTGGACTAAACCATTCATCATTTTTTTGGGGGGAAATTTCAAAAATATATTTAGACCGAATAGCTTACAGTGAAGATCATGATGCAATGGACATAGAAGGGTTTTTTTCAATTCTTTAGAAATGTCAAACATGTGTTTAAAATGCTTTAATAATGGATTTAGAGCATGTTAGATGTTTAACAGTTTAAGAAAGTAGTGTTGAACAAGCAATAATGTGTCAAAAATGTAGCAAAATGTAAACAAAGTATATTTTGACTTCCATACAAAATACTTATTCACTATAATTAGACCAATTACTAATATAGCTAGAGAAGCAAATGATAGTTCATCTATAAAACAAATGAGTAATGTTTTGGAAACTGTCACACAAGATAACAAAAATAAATTTGTTTGTTTGATTGGGTTTTACGTCACACCGACACAGTGGAGGAAGACCTCAGGTGCCCATCCGTGCATTATTTCAGACACAAATGGGCACCTAAGTAGAACCACCTACCTTAAGTAAGCTAGCTGGATTATAAGCTTCCTCACATGGAAGAATCCAAAGTCCCTATCGGGATTTGAACCCACAGCGGTGAGGGACAAGTGGTTTGAAGTTAACGACCTTAACCACTCGCCCCCCCCCCCCCAAAAAAAAGTTTTTGAGAAATAAAATGATAGCATATATAAGGCATGATGGACCTTTAAGTAATAATTATTATTACAAAACTCACCTTGAGTGTGGAGCATGCAGTGTAGCTCACATTGGGTAATATTTCTACTGGCTCCTTAAACATTACACGAAATGTTGAGTTAGATCCGTCACACTGGAAGCTTGTATCGTTCACTCCTATAACTTTACCATTGTCCGATTGTAAAATCTACAAATTAAATTCGTCAAAATTTAGGATTTAACTCAATACACTGTTAGAGCAGTACCTCTAAACGCTTGCAGAAATCATGATCACAAAATAGACAAATATCGTTTTTTTCGTCAATTTTAACATTTTTCATTCATTATCGGATATAAATCGGTGTGAAGAGATGAATTAGACCATATAAAGTTCATTCCGCTAGGTGAAAAGGCAACATTTTAGCATTTAATCATTCAAGCGCCTTGTCTGGTATACACCGGAATATGGTACTTAGTGTGGTGTTCCAACACTTTTTTAGTTGCACTCCGAATCTTAAGCATTAGGTTAAATGATAATATCTTTGCAGGTATATATTACAGAAAAAAATCACCACCCCATATTTAACATAGTCCATACAGACACTTTGTATGAAAAAAAAGGAGCCTTCTATCTAATTTGTATGTAATTTTGCTAAAATTAGGGCTGGGAATGAATAAGGAATTTGATGTTCGAATATTCGTTTTCAATATTCGAATATATATTCGAATATTCGTTTTATTACAACATTTGTTTCAATATTTCTCTTTGACGTATCTGTATCCGAAATTGATTGCGTCGAATACTATACTACTTTAATATGCTTGTTATAATCGCCGATTAAAAATACCTTTATTACTACGTCAAAGTTGTTTTAATTTTATATATTGTAAATTGACATATATGTTTACATTTTGAAATAAATTTATTACCCTTTGTTCAGTAAATCCTATTTGTCTTATTAACGGGAGGTAACTCACGTGACTTGTTTGACAGTAATATGAATTATTGTAGCCTTTTAGCCCCAATAACAAATAATTATATTGAAACTTAACTTGTATTAAATATTTTTTTATTTATTTATAACTTTAGATAAGGTTTAAAATATTTTTAAAATAAATTTAGCAATAACGCAGCATATATCACACGGAGTGTAATATCTACGCGTTCATAACGGCCGATTAATGTGTTCCGATTTATTCTTCTTCACAAAATTTAAGACAACTATTGATTAATTGGAAAAATTATAACAGAGAAAACAATAATAAGATAATTAAATCGGAAAAAAATACATTCTAAACTATTAAACAGGTAAATTGCAAACTGTGAAACGGGTGCCCTTTTGATCAACTAGACCCCAAAGTTTTCACAGTTAATTGGGGGTAATCGCTGACACGCGTCATACTAACATGTGAACACCTGGTAGAGTAAAGGTTAATGGTTTAATTTAAGATCTTAATTAAAAAAATTTTTTTTCGAATATTTGTATTTGTTTTACAATGTTCGAATATTGTGTAAAGTTTCGAATATTCGATTATAATTCCCGGCCCTAGCTATAATAGAAAGAAAAACCCTGAATTAAACTGCAATTGTTAGGTTTAATGGGCTTAATATTTTGTCCAAATTTAAATAAATTTTGAACTAAGGAGATAGACTCATGGTTGTCTGTCACTAGAATATTTTGATAATACATGAAGGTTTTTTTGTAAATTTCCAAATATCATCTATATTTTCAAATATAAAACTTATGCATAAATTGAGTTTCTAAAAGTTTTTTCAGAGTCACTTGTCTTTCAGGAAGAGTAGCTTTTAAATCCAATGGGCAGGCAACAATTTTCTACACATTCTGAATCCAGTTCTCTTAAATTCTACTTGTAATTACTAGCGGACCAGTGGAATTTTCGATCTCAAATTATATATCTTTAATATTTACTGAAAAGCACTTTAGATTACCGGTATATAAGAATTTTTAGCAACTGGAAACAATGTTTATGGGTCCCATCAAGAGAAGGGAAATAGAGAAAGTACATACAATTCTTATTGTATGTCATACACATAACTCTTTTAATCACACAAACTCTTCTAGCATGGCAACAGTAACACAGTTAACAAGTAATTGGTTTATTAAATATGTGTTACAAATATCTTACTGGTTTAAACATATTTATTTAGGCTTGATTGCAAAACAAGTTCTTGCAACTTATATTAATCACTTTCTATTCCGCTTCCTGGAATCAACCAGTACTGGTGTCATATGAAGAAACATGGCTGTGACCCCGAGTAGGAATCGAACCCATGATCTCTGGGTTGAGAGGCAGACACCTTAACCACTAGACAACTGCTCCCCTTATAATGACGAAAGTGAATATTTTCCCAGAATCAGATAGTACATTCGTCATAATGATTACCTGTATATTAACTTGGTATTCTGTAGGCCCATGTATACTACCATACAGTCCAAATCCTACCACAAATATTCTCCTGTTCACCATAAACCTGAAACAGATAAAATCATACACATTAAAGGGACTTCGCTGAGGTCCAAAAGCCTAAGAACATTAAATTTGAATTTCTTACATAAATCATGAAAAACCTATCTCCTGCGCAGTGATCTCCCCTTATCAGTACAGAGATCTCTGCCATTACAAACATTGAAATATCATTATTTTGATATTATTTAGCTTTTTAATTTATTTTTCATTATTTTGCATACTTTTGATAATTTTTTGATAAAATATAACAGACGTACAAAAAATTAAAAATAAAACAAAAAGAGAAAAATGAAGCTAGATTTTCTATGTAATGGTCGATATTTACATTTGAATTTCGATGTTACCTCATGTGACTTTCATCATCATGTGACGTCTGTGAAGGCAGTGATTAAAATTCTGCCAAGGGAGGTAATCACTGTGAGGAGTTTGCTGAACTGTCTGTTATCAGTTTTGGGATATCGAAGTGAGAATTTTAAGTCAGTCAGCCAATAGTTAAGATCTTTGTTAGATTGCAGGGACATGCATATGAGCCTGCTTTAATAATGATATCAAAGGCTCATCACTTTCGATTCTAAAGGCCCATTAGGACGCAGAACTGCTTATCACTTTCGATTCTAAAAGCCCATTTGGTATAATCAAAGTGAATTAGTATTTTGTACATTGAGGTCAAAATACAACATTGTTTACCATTTGCTACCTTTAGGACACATTATTTCATGTTAATCGACACTTGCATCAGTTGTGTAACATCTAACACGCTTTAAATCCATTATTCAAACATTACTAAACAAATATTTGACAAATAGATCTACTGACATTTGAGGCATAATGTGCTTTTTAGCTGATGCTAAGGGACATGACATACCTGATTCTATCACTGGTACCACTGTAGCCCCACCGACTTTCTATCTGGCAAAACCGGGATACAACCTGCTCCTTTCCCGTCAAACAACATCGCGGAACATCCTACATAGTAAACACAATAAACATGACATAAAATCTAAATATTTTACAGCATAATTTCGTAGCTCAGGATGAAAACTTTTTCAGTATTGCTTTCCTTATTAATATTCAGTTTCAAAATCAAGAATTTTATGAACCAATTTTATTTCTGTTAAGCAAACATTTCTAGTTTGTCACAGATCGATGCAAATGCAACAAAAAAGATTACACTGTGGCTGAAATTTGAACTTGTAGATCCTGCTTACAAGTAAAAGTAACAATGCACCAGAACAATAACCCAAAGAAATTATTTTCTGTCAAAGATGTAAGAGGCTGTTATAAAGGTAGAGGTCTTTTCCAATAATAGCTGTAAAAGGTCCCAATGTTTGCACATCATATTAACACACTAACCTGAAAATTTATGGCTGGTTTAGGATTGACAGTGAAGTATAGGAAAAGCTGGACAACTTCTCTATCTTCCAAAATCCCACTTTGAGCCGGGCCCACGGCAAACTCTTCAATACTCATTAGCGGGAACCGGATCAATCGTAATGCCCTTCCGAGGGTCTGACGTTGATTTTCTGGTGTCGGCTGTATATTTCTTCTATTACATTCCGCCTCCGACCATCGAAATACAGCAGTACAGAGTTTACTCTCTCTTATACCAAGAGTGTCTCTTTCGAGAACAACACAAAGAGTATCATGATCAATGTCTGTGAAGCCCTCAGCATTCAATGCCTCAGATGTGCTTTTATCTATTGTCTCTAAACACAGTGCGGCAAGCTGCGGCTCATCAAATAACCGTGCCTGTGTAAGCAGCATGAAAGCATTATCACTATTTAAATTTCTCTTAAGAAAGTCAACACAAGCCTTTTCCAGCGCAGGCACAGCGTATTTCTTCGCTGTATACAACGTGGTCATCACAGTCTCCGGTCCTATATTAACCTCGTCAGCATATAGAAATTTAAGTAACGCCAAAAAAGCAGCAGGCTCAACATCTGGTATTTCTACAATATCGTCTTTAGTTGCCATTTGCCCGTTAAACTGGGCATCAAACACTGCCGACCCGACCGAAAGCACAAATTTATGAGCGGGTATAATTTGATCGTTGGGTGGTTTGCCAACTCGAAACTGTATATCGCTCATGATTTCAGTGTTTATCAAATAAGCAAGTCTTTCCTTCACAGTTGTTTTCGAGGCCTGCCAATTGTATGGAGCATTGGCTTGATTGGTTAGGCTCGTAGCCGCTGATGGGGCACTTGTCACGGGGATTATCTGAGATGATAATGAACTATTCGACCCTGAATAATCATTTAAAGTTAAAGAAGACAAAGACAAACTTGATTCAGCTCGTTCACTTTCCCGTTCTCGATCTCCAGTTATTTGATTAGAACACACATTCAAATTTGCTTGCGAGGAGCTGTTAGCAATCATTGCAGAAACAGTGTTCGCTCCATTTGAGTTGCTGTGATTTCTTGTGCCAGATGTACCTTGGTTTGCACGACCGTTAGACTCACTGCTACGCTGATTCTTGGCAGCTGGAGCATCGTCTTTACCTAACTTATCTCTCTCCATGTTTTCATTGCTCTTCTTTCTTCCTATTGATAAGAAAAAAAAAACCCCATACAATTCAGGTTAATCTCTCATGTTATTTAACTTTTTATAAAGATTTACACAATTACGGTATATGTCAGATTACACAATTAAATCCGACTCCATTAGTAAATTATACAAGTCTTTTCAAGAGTTTTTCAAAGATTTGAAAACAGGGCGACTATAATTTTGCTTTGCTCAGTCTTTACTATGCCAAACGCGGTACAATTCAGGTATATCCGGGTCATGATTTATATACATGTACATGTCAGGAAATTTAAAAAGTTAGTGCAAATAACTACTGAAAGTGCCTACATACGGACGTTTTGGATTAAATTTGGACCAGTAAGCAATAGTATTATAGCTGCCTTTTCTGTTTCAACTGTTTGCATGCACTGACATTAGTTGTTATTAAGAAAAAGATCAATTTATGTTCAAAATCGTCTTCTTTCAGCTTGGTCAAGCAATCCGACCTAGACAGAGTGCGTTTTCACTTTAAAATTCCATCTTTTGTCATACCAAATTGTCTAATATTGTACATTTTTCAAAAGAGAAATCATTTCTGCGTAGATTGCACTGTATTTGGTGAAAATTGGTTGACAATTAACAAAGATCTGGGAGGTAAAATAAGGCCTGGTGGTTAAGTTCGGCTGGGAAACCTTTCTACCTTTACTATATTTATGGTACACATGTATATATGGTTGGGGTGTAACAATACAGCAAAAACCGTATTGCAATATATTGCCATTTTGCTGAAGCGTATTGCAATATATTGCCATGTATATGTTTTGATGTAAAGATGGGGTAACATTTATATATTATTATTATATGTATATATTTTTAGTAGAAACTTAATAAAAATGTAAGGAATAAATAGAAAGTAGTGTCACACAATTTGATAAACAAAACTAGTCGCGTGTAACCTTTCATATCTGGGCCGCTTATGTAAATTATGCGGCCGCTTATTGACTTTTAAGTGTACTAGTTGTCGGATACTTTTATCTTACGTTGGTGCCAACAAAATTTGCCAATTAAAGATTTTATGTGAAATTTGTACAAAATTAGAAGGCAATTAATTGAAAATTATGATTTTTATAAAATACCGGTTTTCCAAAAATCGTACCGCGGTTCGAAATTTATTTTTTCATATTGCAATATATCGGTATACCGGTAAACCGTTACACCCTTAATATATGGATGAATTATCTAACTAGAAATGTGTCCTTAGGACACTGATGCCCCCACACGCCACTGTTCTGTCAATCTTATGACTCTAGGTCAAATATTTTTTGGACTACATGTGCCACAAGTTGAAAACTAAAAATCAACAAAGGGCCATAATTCTGTTAAATTTGGTCACAGCAAAAAATCCTTCCTTTACTACCATCTACACATTAAAGTTGTTAATCCCTGGAAGTTTAAGCAAAATCTGCCATCCGGTTTAAGAGGAGTTGCATTCACAAAATTTCTAATAGTATATAGTGAAAAAATCAACAAAGGGCCATAATTCTGTAAAATTTGGTCGCAGCGAAAATTCCTTCCTTTACTACCATCTACACCTTAAGGTTGTTCATCCCTGGAAGTTTAAGCAAAATCTGCCATCCGGTTTAAGAGGAGTTGCGTTCACAAAATTTCTACATAGTATCTAGTGAAAAAATCAACAAAGGGCCATAATTCTGTTAGATTTGGTCGCAGCGAAAATTCCTTCCTTTACTACCATCTACACATTAAGGTTGTTCATCCCTGTAAGTTTAAGCAAAATCTGCCATCCGGTTTAAGAGGAGTTGCGTTCACAAGATTTCGGGACGTACGGACGGACTGACGGACAGACTGACGAACGGACAAGTGCAACGCTATATGCTCCCACATTGTGGGGGCATAAAAACAACTTTCCTTGTTGTTTTATTGACAATAAGATATTCTAAAAACATTTTGAGTGAAAAAATATTTCATAAGTGAAATTTTTTTTTTTTAAAATAAGTGGGTATGTTCATGTGGTAGACAGACGTTTCACTATTGAGACGGTTCACACCAAGAAGGTTCACACCAAGACGTTTCACTCCCAAATGGGAGTGAAACATCTTGGAAGATGTTTCACTCCCATTTTTACCAAAACTTTTCTAAGACTTATGATATACTAAAAATAAATAGACCTTAAATTTAATAAAAATTAATTACGGAAGGGAATTTCACTTTTGGTTAATGACTATTTACTCAGTACTTAAGTTTATATATCATAATTGTTACCCTGTTTCCAGGGCTGAAAATTAGCGGTCGCCCAGTCGCCCACGGCGACTTAATTTGTAATTGGGCCACCAAAAATTTCAAAATAGTCGTCCAGTCGGCGACTAAAAAAATCGGCCGTAGATTAAATTAATATCCGCCATTAAATCAACTCATGTGAAAAATCAAAGGAGCAAATTGGCTCCAAAATTATTAAATTGGCTCAAGAAAATCACGATTGGCAGTATTACTTTTGGAATCTCCAGTCTAAATTTAGCATTTGCTATTTTAAGAATGGAAAAGTACACATTTGGTTTTCCATTTTCAATTTCCGCTTTACCGCTTCTTATCTCAAAACACAGCGACACAGTCTACTTCTTGTGGGTTATTGACTGGTTTATATTTTTATCTCCCCTTCTGTATTAAATATCGATATGAAAAGTAACACAGTCTAATACACTGGCCCTCAGCGTTTGTTTACATCAGCTGATAAATATGACACTAATTGTCGTGAACATACCTGGCAGTTTGTTGAATATGCATTGGAAAATTGGGTCTAAATATTTAATATGAAACTATAAGTAGGGGCATCCCAAGATTATCGCTAATCAAATCTGAAGTTTGGGTATGAAATAGCGACAAATTATGTTCTGCAGTTGACACTTGACCTGTTGACGGTAAGTTTGCATTCAGTAAATCTTATCGTTGTTGATAAACAGATCGAAAGAAACTATTGGTTAAGAGTAATGGTTGTTTTTTTATATGTTTTTTTTTCTTTTTTTTTTCTTCGGGGGAGGGGGTTGATTGCCATTTTATTCTAACCTAATTATGCCTTTACAAGAAATTTATTTGACATTTGGCTTTACAGAGAATTCCTTGGAAAAAAAGATTGACCTTGATTTGACTTAATATCAAATTTAAGTTTTGTAACCCCTGAAGCTCTTGCAGAAGTATTCATTTATAAATGGCTTATGACTGTGAAATATTAAAGAAAGATTCAGTTAAGTAACATACAAACAGAAAATGCCTTCAGATAACTTATACTGATTCCTATACTCTTATAATGACAGTAGTACATGTGATTTTATTCCTTAATTATCTTTAGTTTAGAATTTTCAATATTATTTTCTTCACTCTTCTTACTTTCAAACTTGTTTCTTCTGTATTATTTCAGATACAGATAGTCTTCAAGCCAAATCTTTGTCATTAACCAAGCAAGCTGAAGCAGCACATTGGAATGTGTTTCTGCTGTTACTGTCATGCCACTGACTTAACCAGGCAAATGTCATAGCTACTGAGCGGGAAGCTTTTATAATTATTGACTGTAAATTTTATAAGTTTGATGTGTTAATGTGATAAAAATGTAGGAACCAAAATAAAAAGTGGACAATATAGTTTATGTTTTTCTAAATACCTCATGCCATACCATTCTGCCTTATTTGAAAATAAAATACAGGCACGCAATTTTCGTTGCCAAAAAATTGGCTAAAAAAAAATTTGCCAGTGCTAGTCCCTTTCTGTTCATAATTTGTTGGTCCACTAATATATTTACTGGGCCACCAAAATTTTACAGTCAGTGGCCCAGGTGGCCACCAAGCTTAAATGGTTAGTTTTTATCCCTGGTTTCTATATTTATTATCGTACATGTGGAACAGGTAAGAATGCATTATTTTTGTAATCATAAATACTTTTTAAACAGTAAATATATTATATTAATTTTATAGACAAAATTCTGAAATTTTCGACCCTGTATTATGTATGTATATGTAGAAGGTTTAAACCTTTGTCAAGCAGTACCTATATAGATAAGTAATTTAACTTAATGGCCATTGCAATCAGAAATGCCTTAAAGCATTGGGCTTTTTTTCAATATTTGTGATGTAAAATCATTATTTTCTGACTAAAATTCAATATAAAAGAAAAATTGTCTTTCATAAAGTGAGACATCTTAAATCATAATAAAACTAACGTAAGAATAATGATATCAAATATCAGAGAAGTTGCATGAAAACATATTAAAATTTACATACATTGTGATTCATGTTCTCCTTCTTTGTTTTTTTTTATTTCTATTTATTTATTTATTTATTTTTGTTTGGGGGGATATATGTTGGACTGAATATAATTGTATTATCTAATAGATCTTTACAACTGTTAATGATAAGATTTCATATGTGATTTTCTTTGCATTAAGTATGTAAACATTCTGCAAATTTTCTAAAATAAAAATAATTTATTTATATATCGGATTAAAATTATTTTAATTTGTTGTATTAACAAAACTTATAATGGAGAAGTTTCTGTTTCCAAGACTTTTGTTTTAATTGGATGTTATCTAAAAACTATTTTAATGGTCCAATAAACAACTGATTAGTAAACTGTTGATGCTAAAGTGCAGTGTTTATACAACTGATTTAATGGTGATGTCAAACTGTTAGTTGTTGGTCTCAGTGTTTATACAACTAATTAGGTGATGAGATTACTGTTAACACCACAATTACCTATGTTTGTTTAATGGCTACTGTTTAATAAATTGATAAAGAAATAATTCAAAAGAATAATTAATTCTATACACATCTTTTGCATATTATTGTTTAAGACTTACATGAAATAACGAAATATTTTGATTTTATATTTATATATAAGGCCATTTTTTTTTTATATTTTGGTTTACTGATTTTTTCCAAAAAAAGGTAGGGTCAGAGGAGGGAAAAAAAAAAAAGAAAAAAGTTTTCATAATTATCTTCATGTCTGGAAGGTGAGATACTTTATAAGTATCCCTTCTCTTATGATTAGTCCATTCCCATTCTGATAAATGTGATGCGTATGTTGTACTTACGACCGACTGTCTAAATTCCACAGTGCTTATAAATACACAAAACAACAAAATAGCATCCACAAATTGATAAAATATCATGTTGCTATTATTTAATATACACACGAGATGACCTCGCCGACCCTTCAAAAGAGTCGGTAAATCTTTGATGTTCACACACATGTAGTCCCAGTTGTTTAATCCGAATCATCAAAGGTGCCGAAACTCAACTGACTTGCACTCATTTATTTATATAACAGAAGTTTAAAAACCTGTCAAGAAAAGATTACACATGTTAAATTATTGTCCAAGTCAGAGACATAGACATAATCAAGTTGAAAAATATTTCTATCGGAAAATTAGCGGTCAATTACTGACATGTAAATTATTAATAGTAAGTGCATTTTTTTTATTTTGTTTGAAAGGAAACCCGTATCTAATCTCCTTTTAAAGACTATTGTTTTTGTTAAATCTGTAAATAGTGATCTTGTCACTATATTTCTTTTTAAATTTAATTTAATCTGATTCTCATTGAATAAGATTTCTCTCGCTGTATCCATGAAAGTGATAACTTGCGTATTTTGGCTTCTTTTTTTTATGTAGTTGTTTTTCTTTGACATTTCTACACAATTGGACCTTCAAAACATATGATTTTATACATACATACATGAATTATATTTTAAATATATAGATATTAACCTAATTAATTTGGCGAGAATGGTTTAACTCATTTTGCAGACATTTTTCTTCATGCAAAATACATCGCCGTCCAGGGGTTTTTTTTACTAAGAAATTGACACCGATAGTCGGCGTCTTCCCCTCGGTAAATAGCCAAGTTTTTTCCCCCAAAAAAATTCTATTTTTCCTTTAAACTGGATCAGATTTAATAATTACACTGTTTAAAATATTATTTTTCTTCATTTTATGCAGGATAAACCACCAATTGTTGTTCAAAATAACCAAAAACATTGCAGGAAACTGCAAGTACTGTCTCAACATGGAGGCAGCCATTTTTTTTCTTGGCTATATCCCGTACTAAACGGTACTATTTCTGGAAATCAGTTGCTATCAAAATATTGTCATTTTCTTGGTTATTTTTAGTAAAGTAATATATTTTGTACTTCTTATTATGAAAATGACTTGTATGGAGCTAAAGTGTGTCACAGATACACTATTATACCTATACTGTATTAAATTTCATACAAAAATAGAAGTATAAAAACCATTCACCACCATACATATTAAGAAAATATGTTATACTGCAAAGAATATTTTGCATGATGATAAAGTTTTTAAGGGGAAAAAGATATAGTTGTAACTCTCTACTATGTAGTTAAGTATATAGTATAAATAACGTCATAATAAAGTTTCCCCAAATTGACTTTTTTCGTATATTTTTTCCCCTCCCTACCAGCGTCCAGCGTCTTCCCCTTTTCCTAAAAAAAACCCCTGCCGTCAAAAATTATCTCGACGTTTCTTTGACAAGTCTAATAAGTAATAAGTTGGACTTCTATAAATCTCCCATAGAACATTTAGATCTAAATTTGATTAGCGCATATTTTGAGTACTTTTTTTTTCGGGGCAGATTTTTTTTTTTTTCATTTTCCCAAAAAATGGATGCGGCGGGTCAGTAAACCGAAATATCAAAAAATAATGGCCTAATTGATATTTTTTTTATTATTTTAACAATTATTTTTTTTGATAAAAATAATTGATATCAAGTTAATGACATTATTTCCATTTTTATGAAAGTAATAATGAAAATATTACTCTCAAGGATGAGCATAGTATAGTTGATATAAGTATGAATTCCTTTTTAACAATTGCGTGTTTTATTTTGAATAACCAACCATATCTTTTATCATCACCTATTAAACCATTTTTCAATGCAACAAAAATAAAAAAAAATGTATATTACAGAACTTAAATTGCTTATCTACAATGTGTGAACAGTCTTGGGAGTGAAACGTCTCAATAGTGAAATGTCTTGGGGGTGAAACGTCTGACATTCTGGTCATGTACATGCCACACACCGACTGCCTTTGGTTCATTTAGTATAGATAAAATAATCAAGCATGCCAATTCCAGGCACTGAATCAATTTTCCCATCCCATCATGAGTCACAATAACAAATATGATGTGAAATAAACAGATAAATAGATAAACAATAACTATAATACTGTGTTAATATCGAGCTCGACGAGCTGGCCCGAAGGGTCTGCTCCCAAAGCGAGCTTTACGGTAACGAGAGTACCTGCTAAGTGATGGTTTTGAAAACTTTCGTCTTAAGTACCGAATTGGAAACATCGCAACTTTTCGAATTTAAAGATAAGTATAAAAACTGAGGAATTCTAACTGAAAAGGGATGTGTAGACTGGTCACCCGCGCACGTCTATGGGAACAATAATTGGACAGGGAACCAGAATAACGGAAGCTGTGTATAAAATAGCGAATGCCAGTTTTAAAACGGAAAATGTAAAATGAAAATTGAAGGCGCCATTTTGTTTGAAAAATCTTTTTGACGAATTTTGTTGTGAAAACTATCTAGAATGAAAGAAAATGGTCTAACTAAGAAAATGAATCCGAACACCAATATCTTTTATTCAGTCATTAACACTGTACAAACGTTTAAAGTATTGTTTACGTCACGTCACAATGTAGCGCCAAACAGCACATGCAAAACAATCAAATCAAGTACGCTATTTTAATGTCGCAAACATTTTAAGTTTTACATTTATTTCACTTTTAATAACCTTTATTTCGCTTGAAAAATTTTAGAGTGAAATAAAATAAACAAACAAATTTTTATCAACGTTTTCAAAACTCTTTATTCATTTAACGACAGGGGCGGAGCCATATTTAACACAGTATGTGTGACGTCACACGCACTCGTCACTGCATTTGAAATAAAAATGAGAAATTATTTCATACTATTTCACGTTAAAAGTACATCGAGCTCGCTTTGAGGCTTTGCCTTTTTCATATTAATATAAAAAAACTACTAATATTTAACATTTTTGACAATAATTTGGACCGGACCCAGACCAGTCCCAAAAGTCCCCTAAAAATCCTTGAGTAAGTAAGTATGCTTCTCTTTGTAATATGAAATTAGGCAAAGCCTATGAATGGGGAAGTCGGTAAAAAAAATCCTTTCATTTTTCCGTTTTAAAGGTGTCATTCGGTATTATATGTATACCCACTTCCGTTTTCACTCAGAACACTCGACGATTATTATTAATCCTAACAAGAACTGACACCGAAAATTTAATTGATAGGTATAGCATTCTATATATTTTTTAATTGTTTTTTAATTGAATTTTCTCTTAAATATACACGTGCAGTCTATAGCCGGGCAAGCCAAAGCCCGGGCCCGCTTCGCGGGGCCGGACTTTGACTTCCCCGTATTATACATATCCGAAATTGGCTGTCCGAAATTCAAAAATGCATGCAAATTGTGACTAACAAATATATCATTTAAACAAAGAATATTTGCATTCTAAAAAGTTAGTGACCATAAGCTCAAATAATTATCACACAAATGCATCAACAATACACTCTTCTTCATCTAAATAAAAAGATAAATTATTACAAACTTTATCTTTTTTTCTTCCTTTCTATAGACCCGTGCATTCGAATTTTTTTATATAGACCATAATCAAAATCAATATCTATAGTCATACAGTCAGCAATTATTAAATAATAAATAAAAAAAACATGTTTGCACTCAAATGTTTGGTGGCCTTTATTGCTTATTCATAAAAATAAACAAAGTTCAGGATACGAATATTTTTACAATAGTGCTTGATTACTTATTGTAGCATCTGTCTTATTAGAATATATTCTGACATATATAATAAACGGTTAACACCACTTAATTATTTGTACAACTTGTTTGGAAACAATTTAAGTTTATTGTCGTCTATTCGGTCCATTTGAAAATATATTTGCTTGTGAATTTTCATGAAAGACAATGAAAACTAGAGATGATTGGATTGCGCGGTATTGACACTAAGATGGTTCAAAACCTGGTGTAATTGTAAACGATGCAGATGTCCCAAAGTGGGAGTTGAATGTTTTTATTCAGATATGACATTGACATTAAAATAATGTTTACCACGGTAGTCAAATAATTGACTTGTAGGCCCCTCATGAGTAAGAAATGTTTATAGTTTTATTTCTCGAAGCTTTTTCAATTTTCTTGTACTGTTATAGTTTCCAAAAGTCAATTATTGGCCAATAACCTGAACCACTTATTGCTTCTTTTGTATTTCGGCATTTTAGTATAGTTGCTGTGATTAGTATTTTGTATGGAAATATGAATACTATTTTGTTTACATTTTGCTACTTTTATGACAACCAATATCTTCAGGTTATAAGCATCCAACATGGTTTAAAACCAGTACGTTGACAAGTTTCGTTGTAATTACAATTTTATGAATATAAAAAATAAATATTCGTAAAAAATACCATATTTTGCAATCATATACTCAGCCATGAAAATCAAGAATAGAAAATAACATATACACATATATTGTAGCAGGAGAGGGCTACTTCCGAGGCGACAGGTTGCAAAACTTTCACAACCTGGCTTCGCAAGTTCCTCTCCCTTTTTCTTGCTACTGATTAATATAGAGCCTGAAGCTTGGACTCACTTCGTCTCTTTAATATTGAAACTTTACTGTAGGAAATAACAAAAACACCAAGTTTCCAGTTGTTCTAATTTTAAATACAGATTTATGTATGATTATGTTCTTTATTCAAATGTATAAACTTTAATTTATCACAGTATGAATTATCTGATAAACAATAAATTCTTACTTCTATAATAATTACCAAATTTAACAATGCAGAATAATTGAAGAGAGAAATAATGTACGTTTACTTTTAATAAAGGAATACTTAATAATTTACTTTTACTTTTAATAAAAGAATACCTAATAAATTTAAATAGGAGAAGGGGCGGTAGCGTGGCTTTGTAACCTTTGCTACCAATGATGCCAATGAAATCTAATCTTATATACCAATGCTATAATTATTTAAAAACAACCAATATATCAACATTTTATTATTAAACATTTAGTTTCATAAATATAAATTAAGAATAATTACCAAAAGCAAAATTATTAAAGTCTTATACCTGAAATCTTCTTGACAAATTTAATCACTAATAATGTACTCGATATGCTGTGTATAAACTGCAACAAATTATATTTCATATAATACAAAAAAGGGAAATAACAAATTTATAACCTAAATGTCAAAAATCAGAACATTTATTTACAAAGAAAGGGAAACAACCTGCCCTACTACACAGGTACATGCATCTATTTTAAAATTTTGTAATGTGTGTACGTCAATCGCTATACTTGACCTAGGCCAAAAAACTGCAATAGGACGCACACGTGAGGTTAGATTATAAAAAGAAAAAAGTCTGAGACATTAGAACGGTTTTAAAAGGCTGTTATCCCCAAAATCAATTTTGAGAAGAGCTGACCAGCAGGTACCACACACAGAGAAAAAACGAAGCACAAATGATATGCAGAAAACAGCTACAGTCTCCACTCTTGGGATCCTTGGGTCACACCCTAACCCCGCCACGTCCAAAATAATAATGAAAATACTGGGTGTATGCAGTGTGCCTGATTTCGTCATTTCATCTCAGGAAAAGGTATATATATAGGTATGGAATCCAGCTCCTCCTGATTATATAGCAACTATAAGCACATAAACGAGCACATAAGAACACATTAAATATAAGCCACAGACAGCATATCTTCAAGGCAGGCAAACACAAAATAAACAAGCAAATTCGTTGAATTTATATCCCCCGCCGAGCACTGGTTATTACTAACACATCAACTGGAGACATAAGGCTTATTTACATAAATTTATCATGGCATTTAAATGTCCTTTTCGTATTGATGGTTCTCATAAAGTGTTGTTGAAATCAGTCCCATTTGGTATTGATGTTTCCCATAAAGTTTCATTGAATTCCAGCCGGTAGTTGCAGAGAAATAGCGCGGAAACGATTATTGCTTTATATGCATCCTGCATATCTAATCAAGGGCCATAACTCTTAGTTAAAGGATCTGACCGGAACAAGGGAACAACATGCGCATCTCCTCTTGGTATTGATGGTTCCCATAAATTGTCGTTGAATTCCAGTCAGTAGTTGCAGCGAAATAGCATGGAAACGATTATTGCTCTTTATGCATACTGCATAACTAATCAATGGCAATAACTCTAAGTTAAAGGGTCTGACCGAAACAAGACGACGATATGCGCATCCCTCTTCATATTGATGGTGCCCTTAAAGTTTTGTTGATTTTCAGCCAGTAGTTGCAGAGAACTAGCGCGGGAATGAAATTCGGACGGACGGACGGAAAGAAGGACGGACAGACAACGCCAGAACAATATACCCTCCCGATTCCATGGGCTTTGGATAATAAAAGATAGTAGATAAACTTTTTATATGCAAGCTTTAACTTTAAAGACACTGCATACAGTACAATAGAAAACAGTTCAACACACCACATAGAACACTTACATTTGAAACTACTCCCGGTCTGAATAATCCACATGAATTTGCCGTAATCAGTTGCTGTTCTTAACTCGTTCGAGAGACTATTCAAGACCTGGGTTGCTTCGTAGCAGTAGCTTTTCTTACCGTTAGTCGTATAACTTCTAGTGATATTTCTAAAAGAGTAATAAGATAAGGTTACTGAAATAAGTTCCTGAACATATTTTGGTAAAATATTTAATAAACCTTTTAAAAAAATTCATTTGCTAGTTGTCTTAATCTACTGATATATTATGTAACTTAAAAGAAGTTCTTATATGATGAGCTGTTTTCCTCAAGATCTATATTGCAGTTTTTCAAGTAAGTTTTTTTAGTTTTCTATTTTCTTCAAAAATGCCATACTAATGGACAATAGCTTAAATTTAAGTGAACAAAGGATTTGTAAATTAGGAATCTAGTGTTTTAATTTATGAATAAGTGGTAATTGTTTATTTACACACACATATATATAATATATGTGACTTATTTAAAGCAGATGGTTAGTCATTTTCTAGCAATTCTATGTAGACAGTTACATGGTGTCATGATGACTATTAAAGTGGGGCGAATCGTCTATAAACTGAGACGAAATTAGACAAATATCAGTTTAAATATTGATAACTTATCACTAAAATGTTCTTCAAAATAATAAAGGTAACAATTTATCCCATAAATATATACAAACATACATTTAATCTAATCACTTTATAATATTAATAACTTAAAATACGTTTTAAATGATAATTTTGAAGAAGGGCGAATCGTCACTAAATTTGAGAGAATCGTTATGGGGCGAATTGTCACTGAGGCGAATCATTATCAATTCATTATTAGTTGTGTTCAACCGATAATTATTTTTATTATTTGCGTATGTATCAAACGCACCGTGGGAAACGTGATGTAACAGTTCCGCTGTCATTGACGAAATAACCGGAAAAATTAAGAATGTGCTTTAAATTCCTAATAATGCCGACTTAGTCTTCAATTACTTATACGGTACTGTTATTTAAGGTAAGTTTTGGTTTCCAATTGTTGAAGTTCAATTCAAGTTTAACTTTTAATTCTGTAATTTGTAAGTGTTTCGGAAAAGATTTTTCATAATTTGCATCAATTATGTCAATATTATATCGATATGTTAACCCGATAAAGTTGCACTGAAAACTGATCAAATGGGTTAATTCGTTCTTAGTATTTATTTGTCTTGAGACTGCAAATTCTAACGTTTACAGTTCACTGTAAAGATGAATTTTTGTCCAGGTAGATATATTATTAGATTTACCTAAAATATATTTTTCAGGTTTTGTTTACTTTATGTTGTCTATTTTGGTTAGTAGCCAAACGTGCCTTTCATTTGTGAAACCTCAGATTTACATAACTTAAAGGTAGCTAGAATTATAAATATTATTTATGTACATGTTCAACTTGCACAGATCTATATTTAGCTTTCTATTTTTAGATAATGAATCACAGCTCACAATGATGTATATGTAAACATGTTGGCATGATAGTTTTGTCATATTTTAAAGTGTCTTCACAAAATTTAATTATTGATAATCAATATTTAGACTTAATCGAGAGTGCCGTTTGAAAAACTTAAAACATTATCTTTTCAGAAAAGCCAAAATGATGAGATCACTATTCAGAGTTCATGGAGAGTTCTGTGCCGCTCATCCACTTGAGGTGGTTGTTGCAACAGTAACAATTATCTCTAGTTTAATTTCCATGGGAACCACAATACATGTGGATCATGATAAAGTTTGTGGATGGAATTATGAATGTGCTAAAGCTCAGGTAAATTCATTTTATAAGCTCAACTATTTCAAGAATAGAGAGAGCTATTGTACTCATGCAGGTGAGTCATTACGCTTTGGTTAAGTTTTTGTGTGCAGTCTGTATTTGACGTAAAGGGAATTGGATTTAATTTCACACCTAATGGCTTATTTCAGAGTACATTAGGAGGTCACTATCCATAACTCTAACATGGATTCTGGCAGAATTACAAATGCAACCCTGTTTAAACTTTAAAAAAGAAAGTTCTTCATTATCCAAGCAATTGTTTTCTATCAAGTGTTAAAAGTAGTCGAAGGCTGTCCTACTGTCAGCTCTTGATGAACAATATTGTATACCAAGTTTTTAAGGTGGTAAAAGAATAAAGATGATGTAGGTACATGTAGCTTTTTGTGCAACCCAGGGCTCGAGCTAGTGGGCGATTTGGGCGAAATAGTCACCAAATTCCGTGTGACTTCGCCAACATCCTACATGAAAGCGAAGATGAAGTCGTCCGATTTTATTGATCCATTATTGAAAATTACCAACAATAACAATAACTGTGAATAACATGTTGTGTGTGTTTGCTTTGTTTACCCTCGCCGTCAGAAAAAGGGACTGTCATGCAACTCAATCAACGCGAAATGTCATTAATCCGTTTGTTTACCAACATGTCATAAAAGTCTAATTAACAGACACTTGAGGAACAATTAGACTCCGCCCCCGGCGAGATTTCCAATACGTGCGAGAAACCAATCGTAATTCACGTTTTAATCGAGGCGGTATTATTAAACCAATCATTAAATCGCTAACATACAACTACCCGTAACAATTATTTATGATGGACGGATCAAACGTCAATTAAATTTTCACAATCGAATGATTAGGACCGCTCGACATATAAATGTAACGGTAATTTTAAATGAAAGTTATGATAACCTTTTTTGTCAACGAGTTAAATTTGATAAAATTGACGGCATATTACAGTGTACTTATTACAAATGAAGTTAAATTAAAGATCGTTTCTTTCGTTATCTACTTTCATTTTCTTTACAACATAAGTGAATATGAATATAATGTCCGGCGCAAGCTTTTTAATAGCAAATCAGAAGGGAATAACTGTTAATCCACCCATGATATGATCCATGATAGGAATCAACTATGGCTTTTTTATCTTCATTTAATGCAATGGTTGCATTACATGATACTCATTCTTATTACTTGTTTCAAACTACTTTTAACCCTTTACCACATATATACGCGAAACAACGCACTTTCGACCCCCCCTTTTTTTTAGGCCTCAAATAGTGAAAAAATGGTCCTATTTGGGCCCCAAACATAAGTTTTCGTTTGAGAAATGTTGCTTAAAAAATTGAGCACTTTTTCGGCGCCGCCCCCCATCCAAAAGATACATCAGGGGGTTGCCAGAAGGGGGATGTGCCCCCTTCTGTTAGGGGGGTTTGAAGGGGGGCGGAGTCCCCCTCATCGCCAAGAAAATTTTGGACTTGTGAGAGGCTAAAAATGACCCCAGGTCAATCATAATGTAACGTTTTACAAACGCTGAAAAGCCTTTGACTCTATCTCAATCCCTTGAGCAGTTGCAGCACTTTGAAATAAATTTTGATGGAAAAAATCGAGGCAAAATAGTGATTTTTGGCAATTTTGAGATGTCCCCTCGTTGCCATGGTAACAGGAAATTTAAGACTGAGCATGTCGTTACAAAGGCAATGGTCTAGTCAACATTTGTGCCAAGTTTGATAAGTATTGAAGCATTTTTCATAGTTTCATAGCAGTTTGAACTTGTAACAGGAGGCTTTTCAGTGAAAACGGCCATTTTTCACAATATGCTCATGGGGGAAAGGGTTAAATTAAAATTGAATATTCTGTTGTAACACAAATCCAATTCATTTTATAAGATATGTACAGTGAGTCAACATAATTGCGATAACATACAACATACATTGATAAATGAATCTCGTCACTTCTCCCTAAAGCCTCCCCTTATGTCAGATATTTTTTTTCTAAATCTTATCACAGTTTATGTTAAACTAGACGTTAATGGCAAAACTTTATGTTTCTTTTGTATTTTTCATTTCAGAAATTAAGTAGATCTGATATGATTGTTCTTTCATTCGGAAGATGTGTAGCCTTAGTTTATATATACATGCAGTTCAGAAATCTACGCAGATTGGGTGCCAAACATCTTCTAGGTATAACCATATGAATATTTATCTTATCTTAAATAAAGTATTGCTCAAATTTTACATCTTTGGTTCTCAAGATCATGAAATTATCTTGGGTTATTACATCATTATTGATTAAGTTAACAAATAGTAAATTTTAAAGGTTATCACTTATAAATCCAATAAATTTAAGTTGTCCTGTAACTAAATTAAAAGTTACATCTGATAAAATGTTCAAAAGTTCTTGTGAATGATATGAAATGCATTATTGTAATGTCATAAACATTATACATTAGCTCATAGTTTTTACAATAATTATATTTGGTGACCTAACAGAGGGATGGTTGTTCTACTTTTGGATGACATTCACCTATACATGTATGTCACTATATGTATGTGAAAATATTATGCATAGGGGCAGTGTATGTATAGGGAATGTTATAATTTATAAATGGTATGATTGATGACTGGAATGATTAATATTCACTATTGTTGATCTCATATTGCAGGAATATCTGGAGTGTTCACAATATTTTCAAGTTTTGTCTTCTGTATAGCATTTGTGAAAATGTTCGGAAACACTATTTCTGGATTATAGTAAGTTAGATTTGTTGTATACTGTAAAATTCCTATTAAATGCCCCCGTAGGGGTGTCATCGATTCAATCCATATCGGTGTATCAACGATCTTTGTTATCCGATTCGATATTGATTCCATTTTTTAAATATCGGATATCGAATGCACATATAATTTCTAGCTAAAGAGACTTCAGCGAACAGGTTTTATAGAACTGACAGACCTGTTTACTGTCGCAAAACATCAAAATAAAAGCGACATATAAAGTTATGAATGCAAGAAACATTTTTTTTTCTAAAATGAAAACAGAAATCAATGCCAAAGTTACCTCCCAGTGTCTCTAACGAATGCTGCCTAATTTCGTTGTAATCTTGCACGTCTGCTAAGTGGAGTTGTAGAAATGCCAAGAAAAATTTGTCAGTGTTCCTTTGTAAAAATTATGATTACAAAATGTTAAACTTAAATAATTATTCAGGTTCTACACACTATAATTTGCCAATTAAACCCGGCTTAATTGGAACGGCAAGGACAGGATTTAGCATGATCCGTTACTACGTAATAGCAACAACAACAACTAAAGTAAAATGGAAAAGGCTTTAAACTTTATAGTTACTAGTCATTAATTTTCACTTATAGCTATATGATTAAAAAGAAACAAATTGTTCAGTTTTCATAGTTTATCTTTTTTGCATTTTTAACTGCTTTGTCAGTGTCCTTAGGAAACATTTAAAAAGACTTGAAAGCTAAAATTTAGCCTGGCAATCGATATATCGCTGTATCGCCGATAATTCATTACCGATATATCAATACAAAAATCCTTATCGATGACACCTCTATGCCCCCGGGGCTAAACATTTTTCTAAAGGGCGGCTTTTATTAAAACACAGTTTTTTCTAAATCCAAAAATCATTCTAAATAGATTTTGTGTAACTGTTTATTAGAAATTTTATGATATATTATATTCAGCCATGACCTCTCCCTCTGTCTTAACAAGTAAAACATGCACCATTGTTTAATAACAGTAATGATTTACGTTTTTTTCCGATAAATTTGTAATTGTCAAAGATTTTTATAAAGTCAAAAAAGGTAAACAGGCTTTGAAAAAAATAATCAGTTGTGAATTGTATGGGGAGGAGACTGTAAATTAGTTAATTAACAGAAGTAATTTTCTTCTAAGTGAATCTCTTGTAAGTGATTAAATTCTTTGTAAACCTCTTAAAGGCAATGCAGTAAATGTGAAAGATACCTTGCAGTGCTTTTGTAGGGCAATAATTTGTTTCATTATTCCCCTCACAAAAATTTATATATCACCCCCACCATTGTATTGCAAAAGTGGAACAGAAAGGTATGTGGTGGTTTGTAAAGATAATGGTATTATATCACAGTCTGGACAAATGGACTGATTTATCTGTTTATAAGTAAATTTTCCCTTCATCCCCTCTTTGGCACAATTATGCCCTCTATGGGCCTTACCTTCATTCCTCTTAAAGTGAACAAAAGTACTGCATTGGTAAGGAGATGCAATATTTCTTAATCCAATCACAAACTAATGGTGTTTTATGGTCATTTTTTCAGTGAGGCATTACCATTTTTCTTGTTCCTAATTGATCTATCGAAGGCAAGTGCGCTGGCTGTGTTTGCACTGAGCTCAACCAGTAGAGAAGACATACAGACAAATATTGGTAAAGGAATGGAGCTGCTGGGCCCAGCAATCACTCTAGATGCTATTGTAGAAACACTGGCTATAGGGCTGGGTACCATCTCGGGTAATAACTTTTTGTTCTGTCAGCTGTAAATTTTGTGAGTTTATGTCATATGGTCAGGCAAGTACATGTAAAAATCTTACACAAGCTACACTGAAATTAGCATATGTAATTTAAATTATTATTCAATTTATTGTAACATTATAAAATCCATGTTTCTCTTTCTAAATAAATAAATATATATTTATTCGTTTCTGTGGCATAATGTGCCTTTAATGGATTTTGCGTAAGTCACCTTTATTGGATTTTGCTTAAATGTGCCTTAAAAGGATTTTGCTTTAATGTGCCTTTAATGGATTTTGCTTTAGGATGCCATTAATGGATTTTTCTTTGATTGACCTTTTATGGATTATTCTTTAGTGTGCCTTTAATGGATTTTGCTTTAGTGTGCATTTAATGGATTTTGCTTTAATGGGCCTTTAACCGTTTTTCCTTGTTGTTTCAGGTGTACAGCAGTTGGGAACAATGTGTAGTTTTGGATGTCTCTCTGTCATATCAAACTATGTCGCCTTCATGACCTTCTATCCAGCTTGTTTGTCTCTTGTTCTTGAAGTAAGTATTCTTAACTTAAGGCAGGGCGTGCTCCCATTAATGGAAGTTTGGGAGTCATTTTACTCCTGGACTTTTGCTTGTGACTTCCATTCTATTAATAGTATTGTGATTTCCTTTACCTATATCATGTGATTTACATAGAGGTTTTGTAGTCTCTGACTTGCAAATTTAAGACGAGTATTGGTCAAGTAGTTTCAGTGTCTGCCTTTCATTCCAAGGATTATGGGTTTGAGCCCTACTTGCGTCATTGCATTGTTTTTTCCATGGTAATGACACCAGTATAAGTTAGCTCCAGGAATTAGAACTTTGTTCATAATCATAATTAACAAATGATAATTTCTAATGAATAAGGTGCGGGTGCAAATTATTTAACAGACTTTTTTCAGTGATAAAGCCACAAGTAAAAAGTACATACAGTGCAAGTAAGGTAAAATTGCTCTACAGTCAAAGGAAAGATTATTAAGTGTCATAATTAATTATAAAAATATAACTTTGATACTAACGATAATAATTATAATAACATTTCAGTTAACTGTAAGTCGTAGTGTACCAAGTTCTGTTCAGGAGTATAAGCACATGGCGGAGGAATTTATGTTAGAATATGAGGAGAAAAAGCCCAACCCTGTCATACAGAGGGTTAAAATTATCATGGTAAGCTCCCAATTTTTGTTGACCTACAGAAATTTATGTTTTGATGACTTTTAAGCTAACTCGTAACCTGGTAAATTTTTTTTTAAAAATCCATTTGCCCTGTTTGAATTTGAAATAGTCTGTTGATAAATTAACAGATTCAATACTGTAATTCAGAAAAAGAGATATGATAAATATAGGTTAAGCCTCTTAATTGAAGTGTGGTAACTTGGAGGTAAATTTCTTCCTAACAGTGTATCTACCTTATTATTCCTAAACATTCCCCCCACAACTTTGTGGGTTGGTTTGGGGTATATAGATTTGCGCCTGTCTGCCAGTCATGCTTTCCATCTTAGCACTGACAAAACAGTGGCATGTTGTAGTATCTTTGTCCTTATATACACATATTTCTAGTTATATATAGATTTTGTTATATGAATTTTTCAATATCTTGACAGAGTGCCGGTCTTGCAGTGGTTCATATTCACAGTCGTCTTGTTACTAAAAATAGCATGGCTGGTACTACAGATCTATCTGAGGGCGACATGGAGTACCGGGAGCCAGAGATGACTATATGGCAGTTCTATTTATATAGGTAGGTGGAAATTATTCATTTATATTGATGAAATAGATTTGTGACCCAGTGGCAACATGCTAGTCTCACAATTCAGGGGTTGCAAGTTTGATCCCCCAACACTAGTGCTCTCATTACTTTGAGGAAACCTTTGAAACCGAGGTCTTGTGTATGGGAGATTGATCTACAATGGGCATGTAAAAGGGTTTCCTATGGAATGGGTAGACAGTTGTATCCATTCACAACCCTGCAAAAACTGTCTTCATTGGGCTTTGCAGATAATGTAAACCTGGCAGCTAGTGTAGGCGTGGCATATAGTATATTTTAACTTAATTCTACAATAGTAAACCAAAAACAAGACTGAGACAAGACTCTATCAGTGTTTATGATTTATCTATAAACTTTCAGTAAAGATTTAAACTTTAACCTCCACTTTTTGTACAATAGATAAACTTTTTTTTGTTCATTGTAGACTTTAAATTGACATTATGCCAGAGAAGGGATTGCTCTGCCCACTGATTCACATGACCTGGTCATTCAGAACCTTAGAAAAAAAGACGGTACCGACGTTTACGCGAAACTGTCATGCCACTTAAGTGACTAATGAATAAACCTTATATAATTTGGTCTATGCTTTTATTGGATAGTTCAATGTATTATGGTATTCAAAAAAGTAACAACTGCATTCACGAATTAATGATGAATAATACGTTTGGCAAGGATCTTGTTATATTTCTCGCTGACTTCAAGGAAGATGTTACTGACAAAATATCATTTTAGTCAACAAATTCAAAGATAGTTAAAATTGATGAAGCGGAACATATAAAAGTAAAATTATATCAATGAAACAGTAACATTTACAAATAATTTTTGGGGTTTTATGTGCGAAATCACTTATATGTAATGCATTTGTGCATAAATTGTCAAAATTAAATGAGAAAATTGCCCTTTCGTAACTTTGTAGTATGATATATGATTATATACATATTTGTACATTAGATATTTTCGTGATAATATTATTCACTTCAAAATAAGTTTCGCATATACCAGACCTCGGCTTTAAATTAAATCTGTGATCAGATATGATGTTATTGAAGCAGATGTATTTTAATATTTAATCTTAATTCATTGAGCTTTAATAGAAATATTTAGATAGGATAATTTCACCTAAAATATTTATTGCATATTCTCTCATTTTATTTGCAAGTACTTCTTTCTACTGCAGCATTTTATTGTTAACGAACAAAAAATGTCATATCATCTGGATAATCTGAGACCTTATAATATATTATGTGATTATGAATTGATTATGAATTGAAATAATTGTAATGAAGGAAGGAATAGAGAATTTGTTTAAACTTTTTCCTTGTTTAATGCAATGTGGTATAGCCAGTTTTAATTTTTGTACCTGCTATATAACTTATCATCTTCATAATATAGAAAGTTACTGATATTTTTGTTTTTGTAAAATGAACTAACTGACTCCATCAATCAATATGTCAGGATATTTTGTAACTTAGATATACTGTTTTAATAGCTTTAAATTGACAAAAAAATCAAAATAATTTCACTATAAATACGGCTGCACCATTGTGTTATACAAATAGCTTGTCTAAGGAAAATGGCGGACTTCTCAGACATCTTAGCGTGAAACTGATAACGGTCGCCAATTGGCTTATCTGTAAGACCCCTGCCAGCTTGATTGACAGACGACGTAATGTCAATTCCAAGAGAAGTTTTGAAATTATGAACATGTAGCTTTTTAGGAAGCTGCAAACACAGCATTTCATGTTGATTTATTGTCTTAAATCATGTTGTTGTTGTTTTTTTATGTAACAGGATGTTTGCAGTACATATAGACTATGGTTTAACATTGTTGTTGGGGCTGGTGTTACTGATAAAGTATGTCTACGTGGACAGACATACAGACTTATTGGATATTAAACATACCATAGAGTTACATAGAAGCATGAGTTCTACAGTGGCGTGTACACAGACTGAAAATAATGAAACTACAGGTGATTTCCACATAGTGTTCTGAATTTCGCTCAAAAATGTTGTAGATTTTGAGTTTTTAGCTCGACTATTCGAAGAATATGAGAGCTATTGTAGTCACCCCGGCGTCAGGGTCCGCGTCGGCGTCTGCGTTGGTTAAAGTTTTTTGTAAAGTCAAATATCTCAATCATTACTTGAGATATTCAATTGAAACTTACAATACTTATTTATAGTAACAAGGTACATCAGATTGACAAGTTGGATAACTCTGCCTACAATATTGACAGAATTATGCCCCTTTTTAACTTAGAAATTTTGGTTAAAGTTTTTTGTAAAGTCAAATATCTCAATTATTGCTTGAGATATTCAATTGAAACTTACAATACTTATTTATAGTAACAAGGTACATCAGATTGACAAGTTGGATAACTCTGCCTACAATATTGACAGAATTATGCCCCTTTTTAACTTAGAAATTTTGGTTAAAGTTTTTTGTAAAGTCAAATATCTCAATTATTGCTTGAGATATTCAATTGAAACTTACAATTCCTTATTATAGTAACAAGGTACATCAGATTGACAAGTTGGATAACTCTGCCTACAATATTGACAGAATTATGCCCCTTTTTAACTTAGAAATTTTGGTTAAAGTTTTTTTGTAAAGTCAAATATCTCAATTATTGCTTGAGATATTCAATTGGAATTTAAAATACTTTTTTATAGTAACAATGTACATCAGTTTGCAAAATTGCATAACTCTGCCGGCAATATTTGCAGAATTATTTGCCCCTTTGAAACTTAGAAATTTTGGTTAAAGGTTAAAGGTCTTCAAAGATATTTACTTGAAACTTTACACATGCACTTAGGGTCATAATTGGAGGGTCATAATTGTATGTCACTGACCAAGTTCCATAACTCTATCTTGCATTAAGGCTGATTCATATCCCCTTTTCTACTTGTCTCTTGGTTAATGTTTACATGCAAGTTTTACATATCTCAATAACTATTAAAGAATTTATTTAATACTTCACATATGCATTTAGGGTCATAACTGTAGGTCACTGACAAAGATCCATAATTCTATCTTGCATTTAGGCTGATTTTTCTCCCCTTTTTCAACTTAGAAATTCATGGTAAAGTTTTGCTTGTAAGCTGTTATCTCAATTACTACTGAAGGGTTTGTGCTTTTTTTTGGACAATTTTATGCATTCATAATAATAAAGCAGTGATTTACTTGATAAAACATCTTAATTAGAAGCCTTTGTACCTTTTCTGTCAAATTTATGTATTCATAGGTAATAAGTATTATTATACTCAATAAAACACCCTTGTGACATTACCTTCCGAATAGTCAAGCCAAAACTGTATAATTAGACTCTCTCTAAGGCCTATAACATGAATTTATTAAAAAAAATTAGCCCTTTTGTGATCTTAAAAAATTAAACATTATCAAGGCTCTTTTACTATCAAGCACTTAGAATAGTCGAGCGTGCTGTCCTACCGACAGCTCATGTTATGTTTTTTTTGTAATGTTGAATTTGTTTTTATACGTTTCTTTGATCCTATGTTATTTCTTTAGATTTAGGAGATTATTTAATGGTGTACCTCATCGTAAAGTTTGGTATTTATTTTTCTTATAAAGATTAAAATCTATTTAAAGGGCACTGATTTTTTTTTAGCTCACCTGTCACAAAGTGACAGGGTGAGCTTTTGTGATCGCTTTTCGTCCGGCGTCCGTCTGTCGTCCGTCCGTAAACTTATGCTTTAAATGACATCTCCTCATAAACCACTGAGCCAATTTCATCCAAACTTCACAGGAATGTTCCTTTGGTGGTCACCTTTAAAAATTGTTCAAAGAATTTAATTCCATGCAGAACTCTGGTTGCCATGGCAACCGAAAGAAAAATCTTTAAATATCTTCTTTTAAACAACCCTAAGAGCTAGAGCTTAGATATTTGGCATGAAACATCTTCTAGTGTGCAGGGTTGTTATTAACTTTTTTTGCAGAAGGTTTGTTTTGAACTTGAGGGCGGTCATTTCTGTCTTTATCATGCATAACAAAGAGTGTTTTCTTAATTTTGAGGCGGCCCATAATGCATTTGAGACAGGCATTTTGGCCGCCTGCCGCCTCTTAATGACAACCCTGAGTGTGTGTCTACCAAGTTTGTTCAAATAAAAGCCCTGGGGTCAAAATTGGCCCCGCCCCAGGGGGTCATTGATTTTCCCTATATGCATATAGTAAAAACTTAAAAATCTTCTTTTAAAGAACCCAAAGAGCTAGAGCTAAGATATTTGGCATGAAACATCTTCTAGTGAGTGTCTACCAAGTTTGTTCAAATAAAAGCCCTGGGGTCAAAATTGGCCCCGCCCGGGGGGGGGGGGGTCATTGATTTTCCCTATATGCATATAGTAAAAACTTAAAAAATCTTCTTTTAAAGAACCGTAAAGAGCTAGAGCTTAGATATTAAGCATGAAACATCTTCTAGTGAATGTCTACCAAGTTTGTTCAAATAAAAGCCCTTGGGTCAAAATTGGCCCCGCCCAGGGGGTCATTGATTTTCCCTATATGCATATAGTAAAAACTTAAAAAATCTTCTTTTAAAGAACCCAAAGAGCTAGAGCTAAGATATTAAGCATGAAACATCTTCTAGTGAGTGTTTACCAAGTTTGTTCAAATAAAAGCCCTGGGGTCAAAATTGGCCCCGCCCCGGGGGTCATTGATTTTCCCTATATGCATATAGTAAAAACTTAAAAAATCTTCTTTTAAAGAACCATAAGAGCTAGAGCTTAGATATTTGGCATGAAACATCTTCTAGTGAATGTCTACCAAGTTTGTTCAAATAAAAGCCCTGGGGTCAAAATTGACCCCGCCCCAGGGGGTCATTGATTTTCCCTATATGCATATAGTAAAAACTTAAAAAATCTTGTTTTAAAGAACCCAAAGAGCTAGAGCTAAGATATTTAGCATGAAACATCTTCTAATGAGTGTCTACCAAGTTTGTTCAAATAAAAGCCCTGGGGTCAAAATTGGCCCCGCCCCGGGGGGTCATTGATTTTCCCTTTATGCATATAGTAAAAACTTAAAAAATCTTCTTTTAAAGAACTCAATAAGCTAGAGCTAAGGTATTTAGCATGAAACATGTTCTAATGGGTGTCTACCAAGTATGTTCAAATAAAAGCCCTGGGGTCAAAACTGGCCCCGCACGGGGGTCATTGATTTTCCTTATATGTGTATAGCAAAAACTTAAAAATCTTCTTTGAAAAAACCCAAATAGCTAGAGTTTAGATATTAAGCATGAAACATCTTTAAGTAAATATCTACAAAGTATGTTTAAATAAAAGCCCGGGGGTCAAAACTGGCCCTGCCCCAGGGGTGTCATTGTTTTTAACTATATGTGTATAGTAAAAACTTCAAAAATCTTCTTTTAAAAAACCCAATGAGCTAGAACTTAGATGTTTAGCATGAAACATCTTCTTATGGGTGTCTACCAAGTCTGTTCAAATAAACAAATAAAAGCCCTTGGGTAAAAATTGGCCCGGGGGTGGGGGGGGGGGCCTATATACAGGTGAGCGACCTCAGGGCCATCATGGCCCTCTTGTTTAAATGGAAGATCTGAAATATTATTCACAGATTCATGTATAGTTAGATGTACGTCTGGACCAATAAATGATTTGCAACATTTCAGATTATTCTTTCACACTGTTTGCAGAATATATCATTTTAATTGCACAAAATGATCCAATAAATGAAAGGTTTGCAACATTTTTCACTCAAATATGATTGAAGTTTTATATCATGTTACAGATTCAGAGGAAAATATTCGGACATCATTTTCCCTCGGTGATGACGATGATGAGAATGATGATACAATGGTTGATAGTAAAGGTACGCAGACTGCTGCCCTCCAGTCACTCTCTCCGTTGAAGAGATTAGTGAGTTATGAAGAACCGAGGTCCCTGAAACAGTGCATCGAAATATTGAAATCTGACGTAAGTTTTGTGTAAGATTTTCTCACTTTGAAAAAAATCAAATTTAGGGTGAAAACTTTCTGCATAGCTTTAGGATTATATAATTTTAGTGATTGTCAGATATTGAAAGAGCTCCACTGAGGTCTAAAACATAAAATTTGAACAACTGGGGCACTTGAAATGAAAAAATGAAAAAGAACATAAAAGAAATATACTGAAATTAAATTGCAAGTCAGAATTTAATGCATTTTTTAGCCAGATTTGACTTAAAATTATATGGCAGTGCTGTTGTATCCATTTGTAGAGTGGTTTGGATAGCCATTGAATAAAACCAATATTACACTTGTGTAATAAAACTTTGACATGATGTCATTTGCATTATATACAGGCGCACTAATTTTAGCATTCACTATAGGCATATCAATGAAAAAAGATTCTTTTTAACTGTTTTTGATATGTGATTAAAAGAATACCAGTTTTATATTCGTGTAGATTCAATACTTATTTATTTGAACTCATTGATTTAAGCAATATTACGCTGGTCAGAGGCTCGCATAGTATGATTTCGTTGATTTCATTAAACTTAATATTAAATATACACTCATTCAATATCCTCTATGTTTACACAGTGTACTATATTTGTATTTAGAATGGTGTTCAGGAGTTGACAGACGATGAGGTGAAATTATTGGTGGAGAAACGTCATATACCCTCGTACAAGCTTGAGGGTACCCTGGGAGATTATGAAAGGGGTGTGTCTGTTAGAAGGCAGATAATTGAGGATAAATTACAAACAGAAGATTCCATGACTTCTCTCCCATTTTCCAACTATGATTATACCTATGTAAGTTTGAATGACTGTTTTGATTTTTCAATTTTAAAATTGTCTTTTATTGACAAAGTGTTTTAATATTATATTAACTTTTTTAGTCCCAGAACTCCCAGTGGTTTTTCTCACTTAATTGGGAAGAGAATTTAGCCTCATGATTTTGGGAAAATTTATTGTTGAAATTGTTAATTTGGGAAGTTAAAAAGCTGTTGTAAGTTCAGTATTTAGGAAAACTGGGTGATTTAAAAGAAAATTTTGACTGGGAAGAGGCCTTTTACAGGCCTCTAATATATAAGGTGAAAAATCACTGACTCCATTGAGGTTATAATTCTTAAAAAAATATAAATGAAATTCTTACATAAATCAAGTTAAAGACTTAAAATTTAAACATTTGCAGGGGTTGGTGATGAAATATACTCAGAAATAAATTGAATATCGATTTTTTGTGTGCAATTATTAGCCTGGTTTCAGTGAAATGCACTTTTTTGCTAATATTTGATTTGTATATTCAGGTGGATGGGGCATGTTGCGAGAATGTGATTGGTTACATGCCACTTCCTGTTGGTGTGGCTGGTCCCCTGCTTCTAGATGGACAAACATACATGGTTCCTATGGCAACAACAGAAGGCTGCCTAGTCGCTAGTACGAATCGGGGATGTAGAGCCCTTAGTGTAAGTGGTTGAAGATATTTTCTCATTCAGAAAATTGTAATAATCACAGATTTACAGTTATATCATCACCTTAGTGCAGTAACGGGTTAACTTCTTTTGAAATTATATAGGAGTTAACCCGTTACTGCACTAAGGTGACGATATGCTTATAGTTGTTTTCAGAATTTTTAAGATCATTTGTGAATATACTTATTGATGACATTGCAAGGAGATGAATTTCACTTTAGAATTACGAGATTCATGATTGATACTATCCCATACTTTCAATTTGTGTACTTGGCAGGCTATGTCTATTTTTTGTACAGATTATGTAATTCAGCCGTCTTTTAAAAGTGTTCTTGGTATCATCTATACATTTCTAGTGACTTAATTGGTTGAATGTTAACATTGATAATGAAATATCTATCCTGCCAGTATAGAACAAGGGCAGACCGGGTATTCATGCAGTATTTATAATTATATTTACAGCAAGGCGATGGTGTACACAGTCGGGTTATAGGTGATGGTATGTCAAGAGGTCCAGCAGTTCGATTTCCCTCCGCTATCAGAGCTAGGTATGTTACATGTATTGTCCTAGAGGGATAAATTGTTCTTAATATTACTTGTGTTTAGAAATTGCGATTTAAATAATGCTTTAAGAGCAGATGATTTTTTTGACCGATTATAAAAAACAAACTTTACTGAGTTTGGGTTGCTGAACCCCTTGAGGAGTCACACCCCTGACCCTTAATGCCACTTCTCTCCTTAACTGGAAGTGTTTTGTGAATAATTGCTTAAGACATGTTTTGTTCAGATTGCTAAAGTTCAGATCTACTTATTTCTTACATTAAGATCTGATTTCGACAGTATCCGTTTTGCCTTCATTGTGATTTGGTTTTCCCAGGAAAGCTATCTTAAGCAATGCAACCTAATCTTCCTTTACAGGTAGGCATTCGACGAAATATCAAAATATCCATGGAAGTAAAACAAATTGTTGATTTTTGGTAGAAGAAAAAAAACATGTTTGAAGTATTGTGAAAAAAAAGCACTGGCAATAATAGACTCAATTTTTAATGGTCAAGATTGTTTTGCCAGTTTACCTGCCAGTTACATGCACAATGCCATGTTTGTTCTCGAAATTGTGAAAATTACCTAAAAGTTGGTTTTCCAGACAATTAAGTTAGAAACAAGATGGCTTTCAAAATTATGAAAGCTCGCCGATTTTTGGCTGTTTGAAAGAAAATGAAAAGGTGATAAACTATTTGTGATCGTCAGATCCTAATGCATAGCTTTATTTGGGAGCTGATTTTAATCAGATTGTATGTAACCATGAAACATGATTTTTGTCTCAATTTTCAGTGAAGCAAAGTTATGGTTGGAGAATGGTGACAATTTTGATAAAGTGAAAGATGTTTTTAACTCTACTAGCAGGTAATATATCTGAATATTTATTGATATAAAAACAAGAGTTGTACTTCAGGTATATTCAGTTTTATATGAGCTGAGGTGTTGCAGTGTATTTCTGTTTGATATAAAATTAATGTCATCTCAAATATCTTAGTTAAATTTGTAAATAAAATAAAAGAGAAAAAAATAGGAATCAATTGCCGTCCTCAGACTAACTTTAAACTAACAAAAACTAAAATTTGATGGTTAAGGCATTGTGTTTCCAGCTTTTTCGAAAAATGCACTTGGCATTTTGAGATAGCAGAGAATTTTTAAAAGATGAAAAATTACATTACACAATTGTAAGTTGTGTGTGATGTGTATGGTCACATTACCTGTCTATTAATTACAAAAAAAAATCGGAACAGTTTATCTCAAAAGAAACAGTTAGGTCGGGAATAACATTCTGAAATAGGGAAAAAATAGACGTAATTTTGTTGGAATAAGGACTTGGCAACTGGTAATATGGCATAAAAACTTTGTAAGATGAAATGGACCGTGATGGGAAAACAAGTACAAGTATCTAACACAGAATGATAAGCTATTTAGCAGTAGTGTATTTACATTATGTTATGCTATTAAAGTACTTGTTTTACACCATTCTGTTTTGTAGGTTTGCTCGGTTACAGAGGGTACAGGCTATCCAAGCGGGAAGATTGTTGTATATACGTTTTGTTGCCTCCACTGGTGATGCTATGGGCATGAACATGTTGTCCAAGGTATTTGTCCTCTCCTGACTTATTTCTTAGTTTTTAGGGGCTTGTGGTCCAGACTTGAAAATTACTGACTTTGTAATGTTAGCCTTTCACTGTGCTGGTTTCAAATCAATTTTAAGGATTTTAGATAATTACAAGTAGTTAGTTATAAATATTTTGACATGTTATATGGCTGTTTATTAAGGGTTGTTTGGAGCAGCTTGGGTTATATTGCAAACAACCGTATATATGACCATAATTATAGCCTGTCAGTTATATTTATAACAAATTTATAATACAGCAAGCAACTTTTTTTAGAGAAAATATAAAGATTTCTACATGAATAGACAACAGCTGTGGATATAAAACTATATAAAAGTTATGATTATCCAATGAATGTTGTAGAAAATATCAGATAAAAATACTTATCTAATAATAATAATATCCAAGAAAACAAGAAATGAATGTCCATGGCTTTATTTCACTAAATGTTATAATTATATGTACATTGTAGGGTACAGAGAAGGTTCTACACACTTTACAAGAAGAATTTGCTGACCTTGAAATCATCAGCTTGAGTGGAAATATATGTACAGACAAAAAACCATCCGCAATAAATTGGTATGTTACAAGTATTTGTCAAATTGAACATTTTAAATGATTAGCAGTTATGCTTTTTTCAGTATAGTGAGATCTGCTTGGGTCGTCTCTTGTAGTAGCAAATTTAAACCTTTATCCTTACCATACTGAATATCAATCAGGGATAAAAAAACATTTATCATTTTTATGCAGAAAAAAATATGAAAAATATATTCAGAATTTAATTGGAAATTGATTTTTGTGCAATTCTTGACCAGACTTGAGTGTAAGTGTCAATCTATTTCTATGGAATTTTGTTGAAATAAAATTTTAATTTCTTTTACCTAAAATTAAAGTTTGCGGTAGATACAGTGTATATGTATTTTGAACCTTTGGTGAAATGGGTGTTTTTTCTTCCTTTATCCAGGATTGAAGGAAGGGGTAAATCTGTTGTTTGTGAAGCTATCATACCAGCAGATGTTGTAAAAAACACATTAAAGACTACAGTACCAGCCCTCGTAGATCTGAACATCAGTAAGAACCTGATAGGGTCGGCGATGGCAGGCAGTATAGGAGGGTATAACGCTCATGCTGCCAATATTGTAACTGCCATGTTTATAGCCACTGGACAGGTAAAACATAGTTCTACTTTTCTGATCTAAAGAATGTTATATTTGTAACTTGTCAAAAGATGAAAGTAATTAATGGTTAAATTGTTGAACATTGATGTTTTGGTCAACTTCAGTGATTGGTCCACGTAACCTAGGTAACTAACTAGGAATAACCAATTTCTTTGCAAGTGATAAGTTTCTTGATTCCTTTAAAAAAAATAAATTGATCTTATCAGATATTGAAAAGTTTCAGTTAAATATATCACACTGTTTGAAACTGAGTAAGAAATAGAATTTTATTTTATAATCATTAAATCCAAAGATTTAGCAAAAAAGAATGCGTAATGGATCAAAATTTTCTTTTTGTCATGCATAATATCATATAAATGAAATAAGTGTCATTTGGTGACAATTGAAATTTCTCACATCTTATTTTTTTTATTCATCAGGAATTCCTCGTAAAAATATGTAGCAATTATTTACATGAAGTATTATTTTTTACTTATAGGACCCAGCTCAGACAGTTGCCAGTAGTAACTGTATAACCCTGGTAGAGGCTACTGGTGAGAACAACGAGGACCTGTATATCACATGTACAATGCCCTCTGTAGAAGTAGGTACTGTAGGGGGAGGAACTATATTGCCACCGCAAGCAGCTTGTCTTAAGGTATGTCATACATGGATTGTTGCCACTTTAATGTAACATTCACCTTCTTCCTATAGTCTTCAATGTTCAAACAGCCTAGGAACGTGCTCATTATGGTGATTATGCATGGAGGGGCACCTGATGGCATCTTCAACTAGTAAAAGAATAAAAATCACAATAAAAACGTCGTTTGAATATTTGCTGCTACCACCAAGATCTGCACTCGTGGGGGCTCCAACCGTGATCACTCACTGGGCTTCTACGATCACCACGACAGCCCTCTTACTAGTGCCTGCATGGCTCCTGAGGGGCTTGTATCATGACAACATTTCAGTATAGGCCTGACGCTTCAGCATTATCCATTTTAAGGGTGTTGATGTGACATCTAACCGAACTTGTGTGTTGGTGGTTCTTATCAGGTGTCCCTAGTGCTTAAATTCATGCACACAGGTGCATCGAGGGTCGTCCTCTAGAACTTAACCTAGAAAGTTGCTCTATTATATGTACAATGTTGAAATAGTTAGATATTTTGATATAATTTTTATCACAAAACAAAAAATTATTATCTAAAGCTCAGTACATTTTTAAACCCTGTTTAACATTTTTGCTTTCTTGTTGATTCAGATGTTAGGGGTACACGGTTCAAGTGTAGACAATCCAGGAAGTAATGCCCAGCAACTGGCGCGTATAGTATGTGGTACGGTATTGGCGGGGGAACTTTCCTTGTTATCAGCATTAGCCGCGGGACATTTAGTCCGTAGTCATCTTAAACACAACAGGTAAAACTGAACCTTGATGGTATAGTTTTCATAAAGTTTGTCGGCCTTTTGGCTCAATATGGAGAGCACCAGAGAAGTAATCTTAAGGGTAGCTGGTTCAATCCTCGGGCAAGGTGAAATGTTCCTGTGACAGTTGATCTCGGTCACTTAGCTGAATATGAAGAGCATCAGATAAATAATCCAGGGGTTGATGGTACGATCCTCGGACGATGAGATATTTCTCGATGACGTTGATCTCAGATATTGAGTCATATGGTCATTTGTCACTCCCCATTAATTTAGAAATCATATAGGGATAAGTGGTCGTTCTGTTGGGGAGTTCAATTTGTAATTACAGGTTGATTATCCAGGAATGCCAGTTTGATGGACTGATGGTCAGAATATGATTCCAAATGTGTTTCTTTCACAAGCTTACCTGGTATCATCACTTTAATTAAGATTTAAGATCTTTCGGGCATTGAGAAAATAGGTGCTTATCTTGACTATTAACATTTATCATCATCCATGAATAAGCTAATGTACAAAATCATTCAAAATTAGTCATGTTTTTACTCCAAAGGCGTGATAATAAACTTTATAACAACTTGAAATTTGAAAAATTGTATGTTTTGAAAAATATGTTATTTTACCTTCTTAATTTTTCAGATCCAGTATTTCCGTAAATTCAATCCAGTCACCAGATGGCAAACGAGGACAGAGTTTTACATTGCCAAATTCTTCACAAGACAATTCGTGTAGCAATTCCTTTCAAAACTCTTCCGATATTGCCCGATTACGATGTTCACTGTCTCATACAAACAGTTTATCTAGTGTACGTCAAAATCTTAGTGAATTGCCGAAGAATCAAATATATAATGACAAGTGTATTGAAAAATCTAGTGAAAAATCCAGCAAACAAAACGAGAAACCAGACTCTAGTGGTGTCAGATCGAGGCACGATGATGAAGGCAGAAGACAGCGAGGTCGTACAAACAAAGACGATATTCAGTCATGCATAAAACATGTTTCCTAATGGTGTTTTAATTAGGTGTTTTAACAAATTGTTTACAAGGATATTTATTTATTCGTAAATAAGGTGCGTATATCATGTGAGATGTTTTGATTACTATGCTGCCTTATTTCTGTAAAGCTTGAAATGTAACAACAAGCTGTGTTCCGATAAATTCTAGGAATGGCAACAGGGATATCAACAAATAACTTTTGCGATGAAGTACCTGGATACTCTGAAGATTTCTAACTGTTAACTCTTTGCTATCCCTAGTTATTTTACTAAACCAAAATTGATGGGGCTCCATGGTCTTGTGGTTGAAGATCACTTCCACTGAAGTTCCAATCACTTGCCATTCACTGCTGTGGGTTCGAATCTTGCTAGCGACTTCAGTGTCTGCATGACACTATTATAGTTTATACTAAGGCATTATGTAATTTAAATGAGACTTAATATTTGAAATGGGACATTTCTTATAGAGATATTGTAAGACTTGTATTTCAGTCAGCTTATATAAAATGCTACTCTTAATGTACATAAATTATAGACTTGAGTCCGGTCATAGGTGAAAAAAAAAACAATATAATCATTATTTTTAAGCTTTAATTTTTTGCTCAAGCATTCCAAGATGACCAAGAATAGGGAGATCTATTGCACTCATGCAGGTTTCAGTGTCTGGGTCAGGTCACACTTTGGTTGAGTTTTTTGTGCAAGTTGGTATCTCCAAAAGTAATGAAATGAATTGATTGAAACTTTACACACTTATTCTCTGTGATTCTCTAACATGATTAACACATAACTCTTGAGTTACTTTTTTTACAGAGTTATGCCCTTTTTGTTACTGTCAAGCATTGATTACAGTCGAGCACGTTGTCTTACAGATAACTTTTGTTATTTCAAAGCTTTATGTTATAGAAAGGATTGCTTGGAAAGATTTAATATGTTGATATGAATGTTCAATAAATTTTATATGTTTTTATAAAAATATTTATAAATGTATTCTTCTTTGCGCATTGCTTTAAAGTTTGTTTACCTAAGTGTTGACAGTCATTATTTCAATTTGTAGGGCCTAGTCACAATTTAGCATTGCTATTATATACATGCTTCAAATGTCTATGAATGTTTTTGTTATAACTTATTGATCCATGTGTTTCACTGCATTTACATTTTTGTCTCTCTTAGGTAAGTTACTTAACCCTACTTTATCATATCATGGGACATTCATTCCTGAGTGGTTACGGCCCCAACCCACTTGCCCCTTAAAGCTTTGAGTTCAAATCCTGCATGTTTGTCTCTCTTAGGTCACCCTATTTTATGTTAACAACTTTTTTTCATTCCTCAGTGGTTATGGCTGTTGACATCAGCCCACTTGCCCCTCAAAGCTGTGGGTTCAAATCCTGCCTGGGACTTCTGATTCTTTATGTGAGGATGCAATTCAGCTAGCTAAAGGAATTTCATTAATTATTCTCGGGTGCCTGTTGTGGCCTGAAATAATGTACAGAGGGGTTCATCCTCTGCGAGATGGAAAGTCTCTATACGACCAGTGAAGGTGTTTGCGTGACTTAATTAAAACAAACAAATTACTGGTAGCATGACGGGCATTGGTTATATTGTGAACTATTAAAGTATATAGAGGATATTGAATGAGTGTAAGTTCAATACTGAATTTATTGCACGAGTTGAATAAAATTATATTATGCGAGCCTCTGGCGAGCATAATATTATTTTATTCAACGAGTGCAATAAATTCAGTAATGAACTAACACGAATTTAATATTCTATTTATCACATACCCAAAATAAAGACCGTTTAAAGTGAAATAAGAGTCACTTTTCATTGACGCGTCTATAGTATAACGCTAACATTTAGCGCGTCTTTACACTATGTTTGTATAACGCTAATGACGTCACGTCAAAATATATGCACGGCCGTGCAATACCATATTTACGGAGTCGCAAAATCGGCACGGGTGTGTGATAAACTGCTTTATGTCTAAATGGTATATAAACAAATTTAGTTTCTTTTATTTATTCATTCCATTATTAAGTCATTTGTTTTGTTGTTTCACCATCTATCACATTCTATCATTTGTTTTTCCCTCCATTAATGTCGAGCTAGACATGGTGCTTGAAGTCTTGCCAAATGGCTTAAGTTCTAATATGTGTGCCCTTGCTGTACAGGATACTTCCTCCACATTATTGAAAAAGAATCATTTCCACATATTATTGTTATTTATAGCATTTATGTTATATTTGGGGCATTTGATGTTTTAGTGTTTAAATTGTCTTTGTGAATGGCCAAATAGTGATATTCTGAAAAAATCCCTGATTTTCGGCATTACAGTCATACTTTTGCAGAATAACACCACTTGGTAGAAAAAGTATTTCGTTGTTGCTCTACAGAAGTAAAATTTACAGTAAAATTTATAGAGAAATAGAGAAAAACACAATCCATATAGAACGCCCAAAATGACAAAATTGCAAAATGTTCCAGGCTTGGTTTGATGGACAGTACTTGGTTTGATGGACGGTACTGGAAAAGCGCAAGTTACCTTCCACGCGCAATGTGGAAACAAATGTAGTGTTGTTGTGAAGAGGTGATTTCACTTCAGGGAGTCACTATGCAGAGGTTGCACTGTATTTGTAATTTTTAGTATGTTAATGTAAAATAAAAGGTATGAGTGCATTCATGTGACTTAATATATGATTGTTAAGAAATTTGTTTTGATACTTTAGAATACACATGCAATTTTATGAAATAAAAATTGTTAAATATGAAAATGTTTACCTTTGTTTTTAGTTCACCTGGTGACTTTGCTGACCTCTTCGTGTGACGTTTTTGTGACCAACTGTTGTTCTGATTGAGTTCCCTATCTTCATTCTAAACTGGCACAGAACTTACATTGTTCGCTAAGGGGGAGTTCTTAGAGAGAAAAATCCATCACCATAATGGGCCAGACACTTGCTATTAGACACGTAGCATGATCTGGTGGTCTCCTAATCAATTTGTTCAAATGTTGTCTTAATTGATCACGCCTCAGGGGCCACTTACTACACACTAACGTCTTTAGGTTTTTCCAAATTTCCAACTTGCACCCATGCGAATATAAGAAAAGTTTTAAAAATCCCTTTGTCAAAAACTGGTTAATTTAAAACTGTGATCATTAAAATCTTAGCATCAGATTCATTCCAGTCCATATAATACAAGTGGCATATTGTAATAAGTAGCAACAACTCAATTTAACCATGATTTGCACGTGGAAGTACATGTATAATATACCGTTGGAAAGATTATTGATTTTCTAACCAACAGTTTATTTTCGCACACTTTGCACGTGCATAAAATTTAAACATATACCATTTAAATACATGTGGTTTTGTATACTGGTTGTAAACTGGCCTTGTTGCAATGTGATTTGAGAGTGGAGCAATATTTGTGGGTTATTGAGTAAATGCACGAAAGAAATAAATGAATCTAGATTTAGTTTATGTAAAAAATGCCCTCCCATATCTACAATTGCCAGGTGGGTTTCAATGTGAACAATTCCCGCTACCTCTGAAAAATACTTAAGCACTGCCAAAGCCCTAGTTGATGAAGATGCAAGATATACCGTGACGCCTGAGATAAACTGTCACAGGGGGTGAAACGTGGCTTTATTTATTTGAGTCCGACAATAAACTCAGAAAGGTGAATAAGCGACTAAGAGAGTAACGCCTTATTTATTTTTTTTGCTTGATCAGAATGGATTCTGAAGCTTGAAAAGTGTGTACATTGTGAATATTTTGAAAACATCTACTAATCATTTTTCACAGGTATGACTTATTTATAAAAACGAGCTGCCGTTGCCACTAATTAAAATATGCCACTCGTATTAAAATTTTGAGATTGAAGATCTTGACCTTTTGGCTAACTAGAATTGTTGTGCACTGATACTGGACACTGCATGACCTTAAACTTAACACTATGTGACCTACTTAAATATTGCTCTCATATTAAGACCATCAGTAACATTTGGCATATTGCATTGAACTTTGACCTTGAGTGACCTTGAACATGATTCATTGACATACACATGTTCTTCTGTATTATCGTCTATCAATAGTTTCAGGTGAGCAAACTATAGCCATGATGGCTCTCTTGTGTGATATATTTCCTGTTTTAATCTTACCGGTTCAAGACATAAGGATTTTGCAACATTGTTCGTGTAATATCTTTTTGCATGTTACTAGTACTGATCAATCAATTCTAGAAACAGGCGAGAAGTTGATTTTATTACAATATGATGAGGTCTTTAAAGATATAAGGAATACGTTTTTACGGCCATAATATGTTACGCAAGCCTCTTGTAAATAGGCCGTGATAAGGTTATGAGCCTCATTTTCTTTTCAGGGAAAGTTTCCGATAAAAATTTGATAATAATATAGCGAACAATGTATCATTAATATACTTATAAAATATTTGTGATGCTCAATTAAATGTTCACAGATATGTGATTGTAACATAGACGCCGTAGAAAGAACTTCCATCTATACTTCCCATTAAATAATGATTTTACCCTACAGTCTTGTCCTTTGAGGTCCCCAGACGGGAAAAGGTCGTGATTTGAACTGATACTATCAGCATTGCTTCATACATACGTATGTTGACTTAAAAATTGACGACAATGATTTCAATTGATTTTGACAAAGATGTAGGTCCCAGTGGGGGCAAATACTTGAATCGGGTTCGAATCGAAATCAAACCTTCGTAATTTGTTTGACATTTTTAAAGCTATTCGCTCGGAGTTGAAAACTATCTGAAAAATACAGATACTGTGCATATACCATGGTAGAATTCAGCCATTCAAGAAAGCAAGCTGAAGGGTTTATTTAAAACGGCCTTTTATAAAGGTTAAATATGTTGTTCTTAGATAAATCGTTTCATATTATTGTCAAATCAAAAGAATTAAGGTGGAAAATGAAATTTGCCGACGATAAAATACATAAACAACAAGGCCTTTGGTACCTCTAATCTACCGGTCAGCTCTATATTTAATATTCATTTTCCGACTATCTATATTTAGAAACGAACGTCATTATCGCGTTATAAATAGTTTTGTAGAAGGCTTACAGTGATATGATTTACTTTTCCAAAACAAAATTATTGAAATACTTAATTTAAAACAACACATAATTGTTTTTTCCAACAGAAAATAAAAGCTGAAGGCCGCTTTAAAAATGTTACGCATTTTAATAGTGAGATATTTATATTTATTGTGAATTATTACCGATAATTTTGTACATATATATTAATCGCAGTACATAACAATAAGTACATATAAATTTACCTCTGTCACGTGGTACTAGAATAACCGAGATAAAAGAATTCCTGATTTTAGGCATAATCCGATCACAAGAAAGCGGACTTGTTTCCGAAGCAATACATCAAAAATACATGTACGAAAGTTTCAAAGCGATATTTCGACTTCTTTGAACTATTTTTATGTTTTTAAAAAGAGATTTAGAAATATTAGTAAAACGGTAGATTTTCCATTATATTCTCGAGGTGTGGTGCTTTAACGGAAATATTTCAGATGAAGCGTTGAGACAACTGCTTTATTTTATGATTGTCTAGGATTGACTGAAATTTCCAAGTTCAGTTGGACTTGCTTTCTTCAAAACCTGATAGATCATAAGGACTAATTCAAAAAAGTGTAGATGGCGTACTACATTTAAATATGTTTCTACCACCATCATGTGGCTTTCAGAATTAATGATACTTTTGATAATTGGAGTTTTGCGAGGTAAAAAGTTATTTATATTTTAGGTATATATTTGATTATATGATTGCTTTTTTCTGACAAGTTTTTCCCTTTAAATTGCAATTCAAGTTATATTTTTTTCTTAGATTTAATCATCCAAAATAAAAAAATATTATCCTCCGTAAGAAGTAAGAAAAAAAAAACATATTTCATGTGTCTTTAGTTAATAAATAAACATTTAAAAAAAAAAAGAAAAAAAAAAAGGCAAAAACGCTTTTCTTAGCTTTCGACATTTCGTCCATTTTGTATTTTTTTATGTTTTTAATTTTGGATACAGAACGTTACTCAATATCAGGACAAACAAGCGGTTCTTAAATTATATAAACTAATGCACCATTGCACGTGATATCGATTTCGAAGTAGCGGTGAAGGGGGGAGGGGGAGGTCGCTGGAACTCGTCGCAACCCCTAGATTTGTAGTCGGACAGTCTTACAACGTGACGAATGCGTCCGCTTTACAGTGTTTCGCTCATAATCACATTGTTAGCCGCCTTCTAAACCGTTCATTATCGATAATCTAAAATTGTAACTCTAAGAAAATATTTATTTGATTTTATTTTTCTGGCGACACGTAACTGGTAATTTAAATTGAATTAATTATTTTCCTCTAAGATAATGAAAACATGGCAGCATGACGTAATGATAATACAATTACAAGGAACGAGTAAAACCGGGCCTTGAGAATCAATCAATATAGAATAATAATCATATATTTAATAAACTTCAACATTTTGCAGGAGGGCCAGTTTTACAACCAATATTACAATAAGGTAAACAGTTGGGGGCAAATACTTTATACTTACATAGACCAAATCATGGTGGTTATCAATAAATTATTTTCTAGACGGTCATGTTTTCAATTACGAATTATTTTTGTTATTGATATTTGCCATTTTGATTAAATTTTAACAATTCACATACATTTACAACAGACGTCATGATTATCCAATAAAAAGCGACGTTACAAACGTTCAATATTATAAGGACAGGTTATATGGCCGTATATAAACGGTTGTTTGAATAAATATTAAAAAATATAAAAGCAGCGACGTTACAAACGTGCAGTATTATAAAGATTGTATAAACGTCACGATTATCCAATGAAAATGACGTCACAAACGTGCAGTGTTCTAAAGATAATATGTACGTCACGAATTAACCTTTAACCTGCTGTGACCGGAAGTGTCACTGGTAAAGAGCCAGGCCATCTTGCACATCATGCAAGACAACGCTCAATATTTTTTTTCAAGTTCACATTTTTCTGTTGTAATCCCTTGAACTTGAATAGACTCTTCCAGATCCAATACAAGGCAAATCCATTAGGTTAAGGGTTAATCAACTACGAAATTAAATTACGTGATAAGTAAGAACCAATCATTTTACTACAAATAGCTTGCCATGGCAACGTAGACCCAACTTCTGACGTCTACAAATCTGTGCTAGAGAACTACAACCCTGCCCTTAGACCGAATTGTGGAGATGGTTCTTCAACACAAGTTAAAATTGGTATTGCAGTCAGACAAATACTAGAACTGGTAAGAAATCTGAATTGCTATTTTATCAATTAAGTGTTCAAGAACTGGTAAAGAATCAATCTGACATTCTGTTTTATCAATTAATTAAGTATTATAGAACTGATAAGAAAACTGAACTCCTATTTTATCAATTAAGTACTCGTATACTGACAAGCAGTGTAAGCTTCAATTTTATCAATTAATTATATGACAACATTAGTAAGAAGTCTGAACTTCTATTTTATCAATTTCTCTACTTGTAAAAGGGTTGATAAACGAACAGCATGAATTCTGATCAGACTGCGCGGATGCGCAGGCTGGTCTGGATCCATGCTGGTCGCAAACGCATTATGTTCGTTTTGTCGTGACGCGGCTCATATTCTTCTTCAGGACGAGCCGTCACAGATTCTCACCACCAACATCTGGGTCAGACTCGTACGTATATAATGAAATTTGTATTTTAATTTTTATATTTTAAGTACATGTATTATTCTGTTACATGGTGATAAAAATGTGCAGCCAGACCGGGAATTTTCTCAGGGTTACTCTGAGCTACATACAGTCACGGTCCCCCATTAGGCCCCATATGTCACAGGGTGAGGAAAATGTGCAGCCCAACCATGACTCGAACCCGGGACCCTCTAAGTAATAAAATCTACAATATAATAAAAATTAGCTAATTTTGCGTTTATTCTTTAATTAAATGTGTTTTCTTCCTTAAAAGCCGTGATGCAAAATCTATATTAGACTCAACTAGCTCTTCGTCCAATATAGGTTTTAAAGCCGTATACTCGTTCAATATTTCAGTATTGTACTCAATAATGTATAATTACCTTGTAATATTACATGTTAATAAAAGGTTCTTATACATGAACTTATATTTCAAATTATTCATGCAACTCTTACGTATAAATTTCTAGTCATGGAACGATTGCCGATTGAAATGGAACACAACTTCCGGTGTTTCAAGCTTGACTGTCCCTTATAAACAAATCTGGACTCCGGACATTACTCTCTACGACAAGTAAGCGTTTATACTTCATTCTGTTTATCATTATAGGCTGTTACTTTCCCAATTTAATACATTGTATAACAATTTATATATTTCAATTTATGTGTGTACAAAAAGATTTAAAATTTGCATATACCTACAAGAATTTTTCGTTTCTTTCTCTTATTTTTCCTTTTTTTATATAATTTTTCTTCTTTTTTTTCTTTTATAAACTTTGTATGGTACCTTCTTTTAATAAAGGTTTTATTATTATAATTTTTTGTTATTATTATTTTTATTATTATTTTATTGTTATTGTTGTTGTTATTATTATTATTTATCAGATTATTTATTTATGAACGTTTGATGTACATATATAGTAGATCTTAAGGACTATCGGTCAAGTTTTCTTAGGACTGAAATCATTTTAAGCGTATATTTTATTTAAACTTTGCATTGTTAAAAACTATCTTGTCAGAAATATGGGGGTCTACATTCCACAATCTCATATGAGTTACCTTCCCTTGCTGCTTTTTGATTTTATCGGTTAGATATATATATTTTTTACAGGAATGTGATATCAATATCATTCCCAAAATTTAAATATTATTTACAATTATATTATAAACTATGATATAATACATGTATATAGTTGGATTTTGCTGATGTTGATTATTCTCGTAAATATGTTATTCATTTTGCTTAAAATTCATTTTCATTCATATTTTTAATGAAAATGTAAAAAAAAATGCAAAGGCAATATATATATATATATACACACGTATTGACTAAACAAATTGTCACATTTTTTTCCAGCGCAGATAATGTACTTGGAGGTGCAGAAGACTACAGAGCGTCTATTTACCCAGATGGTTCTGTATACTATTATTTTCCGAGCGTAGTTGCTTCCCTTTGTAAAATGGACGTCACTTACTTTCCGTATGACACACAGATATGTAAGCATAACGGAAGCTTGCATATTTAAGAAAGAAAGTTATTTAATAGATATTTACGTTCTATAAAGATGAATGTATTGTCCTTATATCAACTTCAAATATCACTGCTGTGCACAAAAAAATTATGCAGTGACTGGTGGCGAATAAACGGCCAAGCATTTGAATTATTAAAACAAAAATCTTCGTGTTTTTTTTTCTTTAACTAAGAATTGAATCTATATATTATACATTTGTTTGAATTATTGTACACTGAAAAAAATGTATACGTATAATTCATATCGTATAATTTATATATATAATTTTTTTTTGTACTTTGTATTGTACAGCTAAAATGTTACTTGGCGATGAACATGTATATGTCTCTGCCAATATTTTTTTGTCTTGACTCTGACTACCGCACTTAATAAAAGGTTTTTAGAAATACAATAATATATGAATGCGTATGGGTTAAATATCCTCCTCTATTTTAAGGTCCATTGAAGCTTGGCTCGTGGGCTTATTTCGGTAATGAGCTCAATCTGACATTACGAGATGGTGAAACTTCTGCGGATGCATCTACATACAAGGAAAATGGCGAATGGGAAATTGCTGGTAAATGACAGTATATTTGATTAAATTTTGAAAATTTCCGTCAATTAAAAATAAGATTTGAGCAAGAAAATGCAGAAACATCGTTTCATTCTTTAAAGTGCCACAGCTCAGTATAATATTACCAAATAATAATAATAATAATAATAATAATAATAATAATAATAATAATAATAATAATAATAGTAATAATAATTTTAACGGTTAAATTACTAGCGTCAATTATGTGTGTGTATGATATTATTTCGGCATATCTGACATTATAGTTTAATGGAATAATCAAAATACTAAATATCCTCTATAATTGCTTTATAATTGATTTCAGGTGCCCCAGCAGTTCGCCACGTCACGTACTATTCGTGTTGTGTACATCCTTTCCCTGACGTCACGTTTTACGTAACGCTGAAAAGAAGACCGCGCTTTTATCTACTGAGTCTAATGTTTCCGTGTATATTAATGTCGTCAATGGCTGTTCTTGGGTTTCTTCTTCCGCCCGACTCCGGCGAAAAGGTGTCGCTCGAGATAACAGTCCTGCTGTCGTTGTCTGTATTCATGCTTGTTGTCTCAGAATCAATGCCGCCGACGTCAGAAACATTTCCTTATATAGGTTAAAATTTACACACCTCTTACATAATATTGCTCTCAGTTTTGACAGTCATTTATGATTCGATTAGAAACAAGGGAAATAAAATGTTGTTTCAAATGTATTTATTTAGAAATTCTTTTCGTATATTTTCGTAATTGAATTGTCATTTTCCTACTATATAACTACTTAATTACTTACTTACTTTATAATTACTTACTATTTTTTACGGAACCTGAACACATTTGACTCTTTGTTTGGATAAATTCAACGAAAGTGTTTTTAAAAGAAAAAGAAAAAGAACTGTTCTGGTATTCATCTAAGAATTGTATTTAATAGACCATCTTCATCATATACAGTCTAACATTTAGGAAGCAGATGACAATATTATCGTTATATCGTTATTTCGTAAAAAGCGAAAATTAACGAAATGGATAAAACTATTTAAAAGCAATTAACATTAATTTAAACTGTATTCCCGAAACAAACACAATGCACTTTTTTCAGGCCTGTACTTTACAAGCGCCATGGTACTGGTTTCCTGGTCATGTTTGATGACCGTGACGGTACTAAATCTTCACCACAGGGGAGGTAGCGGACGCCGGTTACCAGCTTGGGTTAGGAAAGTGTTCCTAAAGTGGATTGCTAGGATACTGTTCGCGCAACCATTTCAAAAGGATGATGATGAAAACACAAATGTATTTTTTAAACGGAATGTAAGTATCTAATATGTTACCACGTTTATGTTGATGCTTTTAAAAGAACTGATGGTATTTCTCTGACAATTGCACTTGATGCTCCTCAAAAATGAGAAATTAAAAATTTTACATGTTCTTATATTTGTGTTACAGAAAGTGGAAGATTCTAATGTATTTTCGGATGAGGTGAATATCACAGACTTGGAATCAAAAATCGCGGTTGATGACGAGTTTTGCAACGATCATTTTGTTCCCCGAAACCGTTCCAGACGACACTCTTCGATAAAGAACATCCGTCGGAAGTCGATGTTTGCTGTTCCGTTAGCAAACGCTTTCGTCATGAACAATCGGAACAATCCGATTTCTACCGAAGATTCACGATCAGAAGAGATGAGGGTTGTGAAGTTACAACTTCAGTGTATAGAGTCGATCCATGATTATTTTAACAGACAGAAGCAGTTTGATGAGGTGGCAGAAGAATGGCAGAATCTGGCGAAAGTTCTGGACAGGGTGTTTATGATTTTGTTCTTTGTATTCCAGTTCAGCACAACTGTGTTTATGATGGTGAAAGTGTCGGGGGACCACTGACTCTTAAACAAGTGTAAAATTTACGTACTTTTATTGTGCATTGTTAAAAGATATTCCGTGTAAGCAGTTCATTAAACTTTTACAAATAAATGTTCTTGATTAGACCATGCTTGCTCCGAATTGACCAATTACAGCGAAGTATTATCGTATAGCCAACGCTTAATCGTTTTCTACTTTATACTGCCAATGAATAATTTTATCGCCTGATTATAAAAGAGGCACGAGGTTCTTAAAAATTGGTGTTACAAATTATGCCTCAGAAATGATTACGATTATTTCTTTGTGGAATGGCAAAGCTATGTTTGGTCTGAATGAATTTAGAGCAATTTAGATGTAAGATGCTTATCACATGCTGAAAGCCATGCTGAATGTTGAAGTATTTGTCTTTAAATTAGAAAACTGTGAGTGAGTTACAACGCATGTGTTTTTTTGTCAATCAAACAAAATACTAATTTACTTTATCATTACTAATGACTAAAAAGCATAAGAAGCACTCTATTTTATGACCAATAAGCACCGTTTAGGCTTCAATAAGAACAGCAGCACACAAAAATGCATCTGGTATTTTATTAACATCTTTAGATTGTTATAAATGAAATCATATATAAAATCCATGAAAAACAAGCAGGGAACCCACATGGCTGGTAAAGGTCAAGTCATTTTAAGTACCAGGGACGATTGATTGACCTTACGTGACTAACTCCTGACCACTTTCTGTACGGATAACAAACACACGCACGCAGGCACACACACATGCAAGCACGCCCACACTTGTAAGTGTGAAAAATTGCATATTTTCGTCACCTGTGTGTGGATCGACGAATTTACATTGTCCCACTTTTTTACACTTTTGAAGTATTTAAAGGATCTAATGAGGCGGCTTAAGTTATCTCTTTTACTCAAAGGGACATAGCCATATCTTATTGTTAACATTTTAATTCATTTATTTTACTCACTCAACGAACGATACTGAGTAGTACTCAGTCAATAATCAATACTCAAGGAGCACTTCTCATTCAATAAACATCACTCACTTAGCACTAGACTTTCACTGAAAATCAATCATTTCACACTTCTTACTCATTTACTATACTTGGTTAACACTACACCCTCAATGAACTATACCCTACTGATTAATTCTCACATCGATGAAGGAAACTTAATAAGCATTACACTTTCCACTTCACTGAGCAGAACACTACTCATTGCTCACTCCCTGATAGGCCCATTATTCCTTACAATTTTTTCTTTATTTTTTTTATATCTTTTTACAGTTTAAGTTTAAAAAACATACTCATTTGCTTCAATACATGAACTATCTTTTGCGTCTATAGTTCTGTTCACAATTGGTAAAATTACGAGGGGTGTTCAAATATGAATGCAACTAGGCCAATATCTTGCTTTTATAACCACGTTTTGCACGAACTATATACATCTATCGGATAGATGGTTGTGTAAGCTTTAAATTGATACAATGCATGTGTAAATCACTTTAGTCTAGGTTCGACAATAGCTCGATTAACGCTATCTACTCGTGTATACTAAAGCTAAAATGGTTGGGAAAAGGTCTCCTTTCATTGTCCAAATACTCGTACGGTCCTATATCAAGAACTGCTGTATTCTTGATATACAGGCGAAAAACATATTTAACAAAATATGTCGTGTTTATGGTAACATCATCTGTCACACGGTGGTGTAAGAAATTTAATCAGTAAATATTGCACCTCATCCACGCTGTCCAGAAAAACTGTAACTTCGCCAAAAATGGTTAAAAACTAAAGGATTTGATTGCTGCTGATATAAGATTTGCAACTAGATATATAGCTAAATGCGTTGGTATCTCTGAAGGAGCCGCTCATACAATTCTCAAACGTGATTTAAAAATGAGAAGGATAAGTGCCAGATGGATACCCAATCTCCTTACAGAAGAGCAAAAACTTGCTCGGGTAAGAATTTCCAAACAATTGCTGAAACAGTTTCCTAAATGCAACAATCGATCTTTCGAAAATATCATCACTGCGATGAGACATGGGTTCTATTTATGACTTTAAGCGAAAGATACATGACAAAATATGGGCAACCAAAGGAAGTCAAAGATCTTGTATAGCAAAACGCACCATGAGCGTTAAAAAGGTCATGTATGTAATTTTCTTTACCAATCAAGGTCCTGCTATTCAGATTAACTGTATCAAAGGGTAAGTATGTCAATGCCAAGTTTTACAAAGGCATGGCCTTCATAAATAAAAGAAATATTTTAAAAACCGTCGACAAGCAAATGGTCTCCATGGAGTGAGGTTGTTGCATGACAATGCTTCGTCACACAAAGCGGGCATTGTACGAGAATATATGAAACAGGAAAATGTTGTCGGGCTTCCTCACCCTCCTTATTCGTCAGGTCTTGTCCCTTGTGACCTTTTTTTTATTTCCAATGCTCGTAGAAAATATCAAACGCGAAAAAATCTCGGTTCGGATATTTTCCAGTGTCTGAACAGTATACCTCGAAATGATTATGAAATCGCATTAAAAATTGGATTAAAAGACTAAAACTTTGTATATCACATGTAGGTGAGTATATTGAAAGAATGAGATACATGTAATTATTTTAGCACTGTTTAACCACTTCTGAAAATTGACCAAGTTGCATTCATATTTTAACACCCCTCGTAATTTTGAGAGTCAAATACTACGTTGTTTACTTTATTACTACCTTTACGACACATAAATGCATGTTCAGCGCCACTTTATTTAGTTGTCTAACATCTAACATGTCCATTATTTAAGCATTATTGAAGACATGTTTGACATTTCTTAACAATTTAAAAAGTATGTATTTCAGCAAACAGTCATCGGGACTGGTGTTATATAAGCAAAAAACGCTTCCTCTAAAACCGAAGAAAAATTAAGTATCAACAGTAGTTGGGCTGAAACAATTTTCTTACTTTTCATGCTCGAACTGTATGTCCTGAAGACAGGCAAAATTGTTTAAAATGTAGCCTCCCCAATTTTACCGAAACTGTAGTAACACAACCAATAAAATATCATTAAGTAAACTACAAATATATGTACACCGCTAATGAAAGTTTATTTAAACTTCCTTGTTACAATTTACTTAACGGAAAGTACCGAAAAGTTTCATTTGACATAGCGCACGCGCAATAATCGTTTAAATTCGCCACTAAGGAAGTTTCAGTTGTGAAATTAATAAACAAAGTAAAGATTTTTTTCTGTAAACTTATTCTTATTCTTTTTGGCCGTTGGAGTTTGTGAAAGTTACATACAATCTTACAACTATCGTGTGTCAATTTTGAAATACTTTTAAGAGTATTTGTGAAAAAGTTCTTTTGTATTATCAATAATGAAAGGAGTATTTTCGTATTTTGTCGTGTTTGCTCTTGCCTTGTTAAATGGCAGACCAGCTAATGCTATACCGATTATATCTACTCTTTCAAAGGCGGTCGAAGTTGTTTCATTTGGAATAGACGTTTACTCGTTTTTTAGTTCAATACTAGGAGGAGAAGACGATGTTCAAAGTACACCGGCACCTTTCGAGTATGACAGAATAATAAACATGATATCGGAAAGAATTGAGTCATCGGAGGAAACTATTATATTTAAAATTGAACTTCAAGCATACCTATCAGAATTACGTGAGGTTGCCCTGACTGTCAAACAACTGCTTATCGACATGGAATACATAATTAAAGCAAAATCTAAGGAAATCAGAGAGGAACAACAAAAAAGATTTCTTAAAAGCTATGAGCTACATAAAATAAAGATATATAAAATCAAAAGTCTCCTCACTTTCAGAGTTCCCGTATCGGGAATTTCCAATACTCTATTATCTCTTATTGCAAATGAATTTAAATGTGGGATGACACGTCTTGAGGAATTCCAGAATTACTATATGACACTCGTTTCTGATGTTGTCGCACTGGCCCTGTTAAATGAAAGACTTTCAGAGAAGAGTCTTTATAATGAAACATTAGCAACTTGGGAAATTGCAATAACATCTCTGTTTGAGGACTTTGAAGAGCAGAAAGATACTTGCAAAGCGAAATTCTTTGAATTAGTTAAGAAAGATTTCGAGAAAACAACTGATCCTTTACAGATGTTCGAAAGAAGCAAAACTAAATATTCCCACAAAGCAATCGATGTTCTTTTTCTGAAGGGGGCTTATTGTATTTGGTATCGGAAGAAATATGACAACATCTTAAAAAGGAAACAAGACAAAACAATGACCTTTGCAGTTATAAATTCCGAAGACAATTTTGTTGCAGTACGTAACAAAGCACAGTATTTGAAGGTAACATTAAAAGCTAAATTCGATAATTGCCTGGGAGACACTGACACAATCCTTTCTTATTTGGATACTTTAGGAGACGATTTGATATTATGGCTTATGTTTCCACAAGACAGAGCGGCCGAATTCAAAATTCTGCTTCACAAAAGTAAGTTTTTAATCCATTACTTTTGTCTTTATTTCTAATATCATATCTCGTTTCATTATTAGAATGTATGATTTTCTTCATATTATGCAACATTTGTACATTTATCATATATAGTGTTTTACTACAACACATATCTCAAAAAGCAGGTGATTTCTTTCCATGAAGAGGTAATTGAAATATAAGGAAAACGTTATTAAATCGAAATATATGTTACATTGTTTGAAAACATGCTTAAACCAAAATGTTTCAGCTCGATTTCTTAATAAGCCCGTGCATAATATGCAAGCTTCAGAATATCTGACCCCATCTTTTAAAAAGTTCTTTCCATTGTTTCTTCATTCAGAACAAACTCACTTTTTTACTTTGGGAATATACGCTGCTTTTCATTTGATGACACTTAAGTGTCGTATAAAATGTTCTTTGAGTATTGCCGTTTGAACAAATATATGAATAATGCTTTTTCAAATATATCTTCGTTTAATTTTTAATTTGTTTCACAGTAAGCATGTATCTTATTTATTTTTCTTGTTGATTGATCTTTAGATTCCCAACTTTTGATAATTGGCCATTAGTAGTTTATGTTAAGACTAAACTCTCCTTTAATTCTTTTTGGTTATCACATGTGACTTATTGACGTATTATCTGTGATATTGG